AAGCATTCCATTTATAGTACATGCTCAATAAACACCAGCTTCTCATTACTACTATATCCCTGTGTCATAGGGAAGTCATAGTCTGAAGAGATCATAGGTACTTAGGTATTTTGAAAAGTTAAATATTCAAGAACTCTCTCTCTCTCTCTCTCTCTCTCTCTCTCTCTCTCTCTCTCTCTGTCTCTTTTTTTTTTTTAAAAGGAACTCTCCTGTGCAATACTTACTTGCTGAGTTTTCAGTCCCATTCAGTTAATGGAATTTTTATGTTTGTACCATTCTGATAGAGAGAGAGAGAGAGAGAGAGAGAGAGAGAGAGAGAGAGAGAGAGAGAGAGAGAGAGAGAATGATGTGTATAAATATGAATGTATACAAGTACAATTAAGTGGATTCTTAATATGTCTGTATCATGTAACCACCAATCAGATCAAGATATGGAACCTTGGCTCCTTCATGCCCTTTTTCAGACAATATCTATTCCCCCAAAGTGACCCTTACTCTTCCATCACCCAAGATGAACCTTTCCTTGAGCAATATTTTTATTATTATTATTATCTCTAGAATCAACTTAATATGGAAAGAGTGTTTTACAACCACCACTCTCTGAATCTAATCACCTTAAAATTAGGAGTTGTATACTTTATTGTTCCTGGGTTCTCTCAGAACCAACCCAAATCTCTATCTGATTCCTGGCCAGGGAGAATGCTGACAGATCCTCATGCTGTGCCCCACCCTGCTTTTCACTGGGAGGAAAACAAAAGCCTAGGAGACAGGGCTCTGCCTTCAGAGGGCTTCTTGTCTAGCTAGAGAAACAAGCCTTAGGATGGAACTCCACCTGATAGTACATGAATGAGTTCATGAAAAGCATGTCTTAGAGGAGAAAGCCTGAGCTTCCTTATTCTCAACCCTCCTGAAAACCCTGGTATTGCCCCCCAAGAGGGCTCCCCATTAACCACACTCCACACAGATGGTTCCTTTGCTGTGGGGCCACTAGTATGTGAAAGGCTTGCTGTCTCACCACCTCCTGTTGTGTCATATATGTCTGTGGGGCATGGTCTCCTAAAAGAGGGCACATAAAGTCCAATCCTCAAGTACTTGTTTTAAGACAACCTGATCAGGACTTGTGACCCAAGTCCTATATACAGGTCACTGATGTCTATAAGAAAGCGTGCACTTGGGGAGCAGTGAGCAAGCATGTGCTCCTCATCACTGTAAAACATTGCTGTGCAGTATTGAGCATGAGGAAGCTTACACTTATCACACACATTGCCATCCAAGGAACTGGTTGAACATAAACTGTTCTGCATGGTTACACACAGTGTGACAGTCTCTTGGGCCAGTTTTCTGTGATCTGTGGGAATAAAAGACACTCTTCCAAAATTGAAGACTCAATAAACAAACTGCGGATTGATCACAAGGGAAAAGGGAAGACATGAGCAGTTTCATTTCCCAGAGCGGGTCACTTTCCTGAGGATTTTAAATGAGAAAATGGCATGCTAAAGCAATGCATCATTTCACATTATCACACATCACCCATCATTTTATTTAGTTCCTTTTCATAACATTCAACTCTAATTAAAAGATAATATTTGTTGTAATAGTTAAGCTTTAAAAAAAAATGTAAGCCAGACTCTGGCTGATTTGGCTCAGTGGATAGAGCATCAGCCCGTGGACAGAAAGGTCCCAAATTCAATTCCCCTCAAGAACATATACCTTGGTTGCAGGCTCAATCACCGGCCCCAGGTTTGGGCACATGTGGGAAGCAACCAATCAACATGTCTCTCTCACATTGATGTTTCTCTGAATCTCTCTCCCTTCCACTCTCTCTAAAAAACAATGGGAAAATATTCTTGGGTGAGGATTATCAACAACAACAAAAAATTGTAAGCCAGTATTCACAAAGATCACATTTTTGTGATAAGGAGGCTTTAAGAAATAGTTTGGCGTTTTAGAGTTTGAAGTTCATATGATCCTTGTGAGGCCATGTAAGCTCTCTTGCTGGTGAAAATATAAATTAGCAAAACAACTTGGAAAACAGTCAGTGTTACTCAATAAAGCCTAGGATTGCATACACACTGGCCTGGCCATACAACTTCTACACATATCCCCTGGAACTATGGTTCTCAGGCTTTAGTGTGAAGCAGAATCCCCCAGTGGGCTTGGTAAACACACACTGCTAGGCCCCACCCCAGAATTCCTGACTCAGTAAATCTGGGGTGGGACCCTAGAATTTGCATCTCCAACCAGTTCCTAGGTAATACTAGTGCTCTTGGTTCTAGAACCACATTTTAAGAACCACTGTCTTAGAGAGATTCTATGCATGTACATAAGAAGATATAAACAAAAATTTTCAAAAACATTGTTCCTAATAGTACTAAGCTAGAAACCATTCAAATTTCCATCAACAGTTCAATGAGTAAATGAACTGTGGTATATTCATACAAGAAAACAATGTATAGCGATTAAAATGAGTGCACTCCAGCCACCTGCCTCAACAGGAGGAATTTCTGGAAGCGTTTGATGAATGACATGAATAAGGCAAGAAAGTATAGCTACAGCATGATTCCATCTATGTGAATTTAAAAGCAGGAAAAACAAAACTACACTCTTAATGGTAAAACTGCAAAGAAAAACAGAAAATTGATTCCTGCAAAATCTGACCAGTGATGGCCTGGGGTGAAGGGGAGGGAGGTATATAGGGGACTTCTTGGAACTAGCAATAGTCTACTCTGAAGCTCAGCTGTTGGATATGTGGGAGTTGGCCTCCTAATTATTATTTAAACTGTACATTTATATTCATACACATCTGTATATATGATACGTCCCCTAACTAAGCAGAAGTTTTTTTAAAAAATAATTTTATCTTCAAAAAAAAATGTTGCCTACCCTATATTTATTCTGGTTCTTTGACAACTTGCTTAAATTATAGGATCTACCCAATGGTTATGAAAAATAAATCATATATATATATATTAGTTATTCTTTTCTTCCAGGTTAACTATTAAAATGAAAGAATGATAGTATTTTTTAAGAAATATACTCTTGTTACAGTCAAATACATTTGGTGGTATAAATTAGTGATGAACAAAGCATTACAAAGTGCAAGATCTGTCAGTCCTATTTGGAGAATGATTAGAACCTTTTTTATTGTCTGTATGTATATAATAACTCATGGTGGTCTTATAGTTAGATCATCTTTTAGACCCTGAAGATAAAAGCATATACATGACAAAAGAGACTGATGGCTCTATGCCACAGTTGAACTGATTTACATAATTTTTCCCCATACCAGTCTCATGAATGCAAGAGTGAAGACTCTTATGAACTATTTCCATTTTATGGAAGGAGAATCATTTTTGAAATATTTGTTTTTGCTTTTTGAAAGGAAGGAGGGATTGAATGCTGATTATATTGTGATATCTTTTGCCTCCAAAAGTTCAGAGAGGTGGAGTTGGAAACATCCAAGCCCCGTGAGGCTCCCAGGAATGCACATTGCTGTTTAAGAATGCATAGTTAGTCTTTTCTTGATATCAGAGTCTTGCTTTCACATTTTATTGGGCTGAGTCTCTTTCTTTACTACACTTTTTAGTTTATCCCTTCAAAAAACACTTCTTAATCCCCCCTCTTACACATAAGTTTCCTTGTGGCACGAGCTGTATTTCCCCTATTTGATCCCAGTGTGGATTCCTGATTTACATCTCCCACATGTTAAGTTGACAGCTGCATAATCCCCAAACGCATTCTTATAATGACTGCCAATATTTTATGATGACATCCCAGGAATTCGATTGCAGCTGCCTACTGATATGAGTGGTATCTTTATTATTTGGTGAGTTAACTAGACATATTAACTGTATTTGCTGCAAGTACAAGATGCTAAAAGAATGTATGACATACTTATCATAGTGAAGAATTAGAAACAACCCAAGTGTCCATCAGTGGGGGAGTAGTCAATTAAATCAAGGAAAACACATCTGAATTTGAGTGTTGGGTCCCGATTAAGCACTTTTATATGCATCGTGCTATTTAATTTTCACAGAAACCCTATGAAATTCCCACTTTGTAAATGAGGACACTGAAACTTGTCCAAAGTCATACAGTTAATAAATGGTACAGTAGTAATTAGATCTGTGTGCTATAACCCCCAAACTCATTTTCTTCTCCAGTTACACTCTACTAGCTCATGAAGGCCGAAGCCTTATGTACTGTTAACTTTTCTTTCAAGGAGACTTGATTCAAGATGACATTGGTTTGTTTGTGGTGTTTGTATCTGCTTAGTCCCTTCAATGTTTTTACCCAACCTCCTCCCCTCTAACATCTGTCAACCTGTTCTCTCTATGTCTCTTTCTATTTTGTTTGGTAGCTTATTCTGTTCATTACATTCCACATATAAGTGAAATCATATGGTATGTGTCTTTCTGTGACTGACTTATTTCACTTAGCAGAATACAACTCATAGAGACAACAGTATGATGATATCAGAAGGAAATGGGGGTAGGAGGAGGCAGAAGATGGTGAAGGGGGGTAAATGGTGACAGGAGACTTGACTTTGCACAATGCAACATACAGATGATTTGTTATAGAATTTAAAACCTGAAACCTATGTAATTTTATTAACCAATGTCACCCCCATAAATTCAATAAACATCTTTAAAATATGACATTGGTTCACATAAACATGAATAATGGGAAGAAACTCATCTAATAGTAAAAACAAACGTATCTAAAATGTCAAAACTAAATTATTTCTGAAGGAAATAACTTTCCTGTACTTGCCATTGAAATAAAATTTAAGAGCATACACCAAGATTCTAGTGATGTGTGCAATCCAAGTCAGGGATTTTCTTATATTGTCAGAGCCATTGATCTGTTTAAAATGTCAAATTATGAGTGAAGTAAGTGAGAAGTCATGCTTTTGCTCAGACATGGTTATCAAAATTGATCATGTAAAATATTACTTGTATTCTTATTTTTACAACTTTTTACTCTTTTAATATTTACAGATGGACAAAAGAGGAAGAAATCTTTGAGAAAGAAACTGGATTCACTAGGGAAGGAGAAAAACAAAGACAGAGGTAAGGAACAGAATGAACTAGAGTGAGTACATCTTCCATAAAGCATAATGGTTGAATTTGGTGGGGTTTTTGAATTGCACAGACTTACATGGTTCAACTCTATTATGTAAACTGGGTTTCTATGATGGAATGTCATTAAGAACTGTTTTGGTCTACTCCTTTGTGTTTGAGTGGCCCCATACTGAATTGATGAGTTCAGCTGGTTTGAGAAAAGGGTGACTTCAGCCAAGTTTATGGTTCTGATTATGAGTCTGGCCAATCAGCTATGTGTAGAGAGAACCTGGGTTGAGCAGCCATGGATTGCATCTCTAACGTTAACCAGCTGTCTGGCAAATCCAGATATTTAGGCAGGGCTAGTTGAATGAGAAAGAGTTTGGATTCGTCTACCATGACTACTGGAAAGAAACAGTCTCATCCTCATGGGTTACTGAAGATGAGTCATTCTCAGCATTTTGATGTTAGAACATAGCATGCTTATTATTTGCCTTATATGTTTTGGGAATTGTTGACTCTCTTCGTACTATTTTGTGTACCTTTTGTGTCTACTTAAGGAATTGACACTTTAGCCCTTCTTTCAGAGGTATTTGTAGTCATTTCAAACTAATATTAATGGAGCCCACACAAAGGGCTCCTGGCCCCCATTAGCAGAGTACAACATTGTGTGTCTTATTTCTATGAAATAACTGCTGAATGGTGTGGTCATATGAATGTATTTTCATTCTATGTGACATAGTAAATGAGTGTTGAGTAAGGAGAGCCATGTACCTCACCTGGGAAATCTTTTATATAACTATTGAATTTCTCCTTGATGGAAGGAAATAAAACTGGAGGTATAAAAAAAAAATAAACACATTGTAATCCGTACTGGACAAGACCTAGTCCACATCATCGATCCCAGACTCTATACCCATATCTCAAACCATGCTAAAGGGTTATGACATTTGGTTCTTTGGAATAAAAGGAGATGAAGAATTCTAGCCCTAGCTGGTTTGGCTCAGTGGATACAGTGATAGCCTGTGGACTGGAGGGTCCCAGGTTCAATTCTAGTCAAGAGCACATGCCCGGGTTGTGGGCTCCATCTCCAATAAGGGGTATGCAGGAGGCAGCCGAACAATGATTCTCTTTCATCATTGGTGTTTCTCTCTCTCTCCCTCTCTCTTCCTCTATGAAATCAATAAAAATATATTTTTTAAAAAGAATTCTAAAGAATGGAAAACCAACGTTTTACTTCCCATAGAGCATGAGTTCTCAACATCGGACTATTGACATTTGAGACTAGATAACTGTTTGTTGTGGGACTGTCCTGTGCATTATGAGAGGTGTTTATTAGCATCCCTGACCTCTACCTGCTAGATATATGCCAGTTGCACCTCCCCTAACCAAAACATTCCCAGACATTTCAAACTTTTACCTCAAACTGGTGAAAAAGAGATGAAAATGTCTGTTATTCCCGACCCTTGATGGCATAATAGAATAATTTGTGGAACCTTTAATATTTGCAATGACTAATCCCATGCCCCCCCCAAATGTCTGATTTCATTGGTCTGTAGGGGTACTGAGAAAAAAAGTAATTTTACAAACTACTAATGCGCAACTTCTAAGATGAGAACTCTGGTCCATATTCACCAGTAAACCTACCAGGGCACATCCTATTGCAGTAGGACCTGCTGCAGAAATAATGAAGGCAAAGGGTGCTGATTCTTGTCCAGCTACCTGATAAATTGCATTCTATTTCATGGGTTCATATGCTTTTCCCCCAATTTTTTAAAAAATATTTTATTGATATTTTACAGAAAGGAAGGGAGAGAGATAGAGAGCCAGAAATGTCAATGAGAGAGAAACATCGACCTCTTGCACACGCCCCACTGGGGATGTGCCCGCAACCAACGTACATGCTCTTGGCCGGAATTGAACCTGGGACCTTTCAGTCCACAGACCAACGCTCTACCACTAAGCCAAACCGGTTTCGGCCACAATTTTTTTTAATGAATATTAAAAAGTAGCCAAGGTAGCTTTTGTAAACTACTTTTTACTCATTCTCTTCTTGCCCCAAACCTCCTCTACCTCGCTAGATTAGGGTATTTCTCGGTGTGTATGGAGTACATTAAAGGTATTATTCAGCCTGCTCTTAGTAATGTAGCATCTTTAAAGTTGATTAATCCTAAAATGGTGATATTGTTACTGGGATTTGAATATTCATAATGTAGACTTTAGGTGATTCTTCTAAAGTGCCCATTTGGGCTAGACTACTGAGCAGAATGAGCATTTTTGTGGAAGATGTTTCAGTTCTCTCAAGAGAGAAAGATGTATGTGTGCTTGCTTATATCACAACACAGCAGGAAGCAAGAATGGAAGTGAGCAGGAAAGGAAGGACCAGGAGAAGTAATTGACCAATATGTACTGGGCCATTGGTCATTTTTCAGACCAAATCATATTTATGTATTATATAGGCACAGTGAAAACTTGGCAGTGTTCTACAAGGCTGCGCAGGAGCTGGCTTGGGGAGAAATGAAACAGGTCCTGATGCTTCCAAAGGAAATACACATCACCCATCCAACTAAGGGGGAAAATAGGGCTTCATGGGGAAAAAATGTTTTTTCCCCTTATTTAAAGTAGCTATGATGTTTAAAAAGAAGGTGTCCTAGGCTTAAATGAAGCTTAATTGCATGGCATCCTTCCCAAACATAAAGTCCTGGGAACCAGTGTGTGAGGGGGCAGCATGCAGGTCACACACAGTTAGTTGGTTCATGTTATTTTCTTCCATTTGAATATTAGCATTTGAGCTCATAACAGCTGCACATGTGAAAAATGATAATCACTTGAATCCAAGAGTAAAATAAGGAAAACAGGAAATTCGAAATGACCTCTTGGGTTAGATCATCTAAAAATAAATGGGAGCAGCTTATTAGAATCAAATTGCTTTCCCAATAAAGAGTGATTCATTAAATGTTTGGTACGCCACTAAATTATTTGATTCAATCAGATTGAATCATGTCCTGTATTTTATTTAATTGCTTGGCATAATGTACAGCAGATCATGTGACACTCCTGCATCCCTCCTGCCACTTAAGCAAGTGCCCATGTGACTTTTGATTTCCATATGAAACTAATTCAAGACTGATGCTGGTTCAGAAAGCATGTTTTCTTTTTTTTTTTTTTCTGTGTCAAAAGGCTATATAAATATTTATTTATCTTGCCCTCACTAGTTTTATGCATTTATAAAGAAGACACTAGTTTTAGTTTTATGCATTTAGAAAGAAGACACTAAAAGTTTGTGTATCTATAATCTTTCGGGTACACCAATAAAGCATTAATTTTTTAATTTATCTTTATTGTTGAAAGTATTACAGATGTCCCATTTTTTCCTCCATTCACCCCACTCCCACTGCCACCCACCCTAGGCCTTCACTGCATCACTTCAAAGACTATATCCTAAGAAGCCTGAAACACCAATCAGAAAGTATATATGCACCCCTGTGTTCATAGCAGCATCGTTTACAACAGCTACAATCTGGGAACAGAAAACACATTTTCATACAGAATAGTTCCAATCCCTTAATTTCTCTTAGTTAAATTGCTTGGCCACCAAAAAGTATTTTTAAACTTTTAGAATGTTAGAAAATGTCTTGCTTGTATCAAAAAGAAATCACTTTGAGGATAAAGGTTTACAAATAACTACTTTGTTCCAGTTCACGTGGTCCTAACCAGAGCACCAGGGGAATGGGTTTTATTGGAGCATAAGTCTGAGAGCTAGGTTCCCTCTCCACAGGATGTTTTCAGATCGTGCCATATATTCATGGACATAAAATCTGGGAAATTTTCAGGTCTGGCACCTTTCCTTGTGCTGAAATCACACACGCCATGTTTTATTGTTCTTGACTCTCTAAGTAAGTTACTATATGTGAGCTGTGAAGTGGCACTGTATAGGAATAGTTGACATAATTTTATTTTGCATCATATGAAATAGCAGTAGAGAAATTAAGTATCAGTTATCATTATTGTAGGATCTAAAAGAAAATGTATTGAACGCTGTCATTGAATACTGCTACTAGGGATGAGAGAACCAGGGTGAGTGTGATTCCGGGGAAGAGCAGGAAGGGACAGCCACCACAGGACCGCATGGGTGATGGCACAGCTTTTGATCTGCATGCTAAGAGTATTGAGACACCATCCAAGTGTTATGCAGGAGGTGGTTTCACGGTGTGGTTGAACAGATCGCCACACTGCAGTGTAAACATCCACTTGGGCTGGAGGGAGGTAAGACTGGAAGGAAGAAGCCTGATTCCAGAGGTGGAATCACTCCTGCTGAGGACAAAGTCCAGGATGGGATGGAGGGAGTAGAGGAAAGAGGTGCATGCATGAAAAAGTAAGAGGAGAGGAGGTCAAGGAGATGGGATGACAGAAGATCAGATAGGTCATTCAAGTAGATGTCCAAGCCACCCAGGATGATGGTAGATTTTGGAGGATCAGGGCCACGAGTGGAAGTCATTGGCAAAAATAGAAGATACCAGTGAGTAGGAGACAGGGGAACCTTGCAGTAGCCCATTTCTGCCACACGGTGGGAAGGTGATGATCTGGAAATTACAGTAGGGAGCAAAGAGGGTGTCATGCGTGACTCCACAGTTCTTGGGGAGGGATGGTAGGCAGTTGTTACTAATAAAACAGTACGAGAAGCAGTCTCCTTGGTGAACACATTCCATAGATAGGAACATGAAACACATCATTCCTGGCCCCCAAACAGTGAGTCTTAGGTAATGTCCTTCTGGTTTTAAAAACCTATTCTCAATCTTATTAGCCACTGTCATCACAAGCTCCTTTTGATCCACTGATGGAAGAGCACTGGATCCTCAGATAAGCTCAACTCTTTCTTTACACATGAAGGAGGAATGTGCTCAATATACTTGTGATAAATCCTCAATTTCACAATAGCCATATTTTGAAAAGCAAAAATATTTAAGGAATTATATCTAGAATTTTACAGACACTAGGCATGGCAACACAAGTGAAACGGCATAGGGTGGTCTCCTTTCTGAAGCTTATAAGAGCACTTGGAACAAAGCAATGAGAAACGAAAGAGACTGCATTAGAATGCTATTACTGAAAGAATAAACTCAGCCAGGAAAGAAAGGACATTAGAAATAAAAACCTGTGATAGGTGGCTACAGCTCTCGATTGGGGAAAAAAAGAGAGAAATAAAAATGTGGGGAGAATGACTTCACATATTCCATCTGTTTCATTCGTATTCAGTTATTCCAATTTACACGTAGAGTGACAGACTCTCACATATTAAAAGTGACAGATTCCAAAGGAAACCCTTTTTTCTTCTGCTTTCCCCCAAGGATATTAGAAATCTTTACACGAGACTGGTTGGTTTTCCTTGTATAGAAAATGTGGCTAGGAGAGAAATCAATAGTCCCCATCCCATATTAAATTCTGCTATGAGCAAGCCTGCATGAGCAGACACATGCCACTTGATATATTCATCAATATCCTTTTTGCTGATATTATTCCTAGCAGTTTTCATATATTGGGTGTAGCTGTCAGCCTGGCCATCCACATGGTTCTAAATTTTCCCCAACCTTTTTGAAGCCAGACTACTTGATGATTCCCATAGACAAGAGAGCGCTGATTTACATACTAAAACCTGTGGTGCACAGCAGGTGGTCTGCTCGGGTCCCATTTGGTTTCTATTTGCTAATAGTGGAAGTGGCCTTTTAAAAGGAGTATTGCAACTTGCTACACTGGCCACATGGATCACTCAAAACAAATTCCTAAAATACTTTTTGTATTATTATATGCCATCTAGTTTGTGGATGGAGAATTATAAGCATCTGCAGAAAATCCCCAAATGCTAAGCCAAGGTGCTGAAGATTTAATTTTTCACTTAAAAACGAATTGCAGGTTTGGATAGAACCAGAGGTGCAGACTTTCCAAGTGCTATTTCTGCTTTCACTGTGGATGTAGCCATTAGCTCTGTGATGTTAAAAAAATGTTGCCATCTATCAAAGAAGAAAACCTCTAAAGCCTCTTTCCACCTGATTTAATGTTAGCTTTTTCCTTCAAAGAACAAACCATTTAACACTGTTTTCTCTTGATCACTCTGGTTTTATTCATGGGGTTATAAAAAGGATGGAGAGGCTAGACTCCAATTTGCTGCTGCTAAGAGACCTATTTTTTAGTCTAAAAAAATAATTTAACCTAATCATTAATGCTCTTCACCATGAATCTAAAATGTTGCCAATAAAATACCTGGCCCTTGGTTTATAGGTTGAGCATCCACCTATAAACCAAGAGGTCATGGTTTGATTCCGGTCAGGACACATGCCCAGGGTATGAGATCGATCCTCAATAGGGGGCGTGCAGGAGACAACCGATCAATGATTGTCTCTCATCATTAATGTCTCCTCTCTCTCTCTCTCTCTCTCTCTCTCTCTCTCTCTCTCTCTCTCTCTCTCTCTCTCTCTCTCCTTCCCTCCCTCCCTCCTTCTCCCTCTCCCTCTCCTTCTCTCCCTTCCTCTCTGAAATCAATGAAAATATATATATATTAAAAAAATAAAACACCTGGCACCAAAGATCAGTGTGCTTATGATATATATGTATACAACTTACTGCGGAGATCCAGAAAGCAACTGGATACACATCTCCAAACAAAGCCATAGATTTCTGCATTCTGCTCCTTCTCCAAAATTGTCCTCACTAGAGGACTGAACAAATTGTATCCGGGCCCTTCACCAGATATTAAATAGCGAGACTCCACTCTTGTATGTGGTCAGCAGAGCAGCCCGAGTACAGATCATGAGTGACAGCCCCAACCCGGCTGGCTGGAGCCAGCACGTGGGGGCAAGCAACACCATGAAAAAAGAGCAGACTTCTTTCCAAGCTGCTCCTCTGCCTCTCAGATCATCATGTCATGTGATAGCTCTTTCACTGGGAACTTCAGAGCATATCTACCTAATTGAATTTGTCCTTGCTTCATGCATTTCTCTATTCTAGCCCATAATGGGCACTATTGCATTTATTTACATATCTGACTCTGCACTCTGCCACTCCACTCTCAGAACCTTCCAGGAGCAAGGTCTGGACCCACCTTTCATAAGCTTTGTACTCCCCATTGTATAATTTGATATGGCACATAATAGGTATTCAATAAGTGCCTGTAGAATGAATGTATCAATACAGAGTCTTACCATGCCTTGTAACCTTTAGGGGTTCTTGCGACATAGAAATTGAGGGCTTACTCTTTGTAAAACTGGGTCCTCATGAGGATAAACTATTAATGTACATTTTATCAGAAATATCACATTTCTCTATAAAGGCATTTCCTTTCAAACATACTTGAGATATGTGGAGAAAAACCAGTGGCTGAGAATTCTAAAGCCTATAATAGTTATACACACTAGCTTTCTTTATTGAAACAGAAACTTTGGCACTCTGATAAACACAAAAGGCATCTTCTTATTTGGATTGAGCCATCAGTTCTTCCGAAAACAGCCATTTCAATATGTCTGCCCTGAGGTCTAACGCATCAGTGAGTCTCCACTGGTCCAGTCTTTCTCTAAAAATGAATGTTTGTCTTTTGGTTTCAGAATTCATCCCACAGGCATTCGGAATGCCCTTATCCCAAGTCATTGCAAATGACCGGGCCTATAAACTCAAGCAGGACTTACAGAGGGACGAGCAAAAAGATGCATCTGATTTTGTTGCCTCCCTCCTCCCATTTGGAAGTAAAAGACAAAACAAAGAACTGTCAAGCAGTAACTCATCTCTCAGCTCCACTTCGGAAACACCAAATGAGTCGACTTCGCCAAACACCCCGGAACCAGCTCCTCGGGCCAGGAGGAGGGTGAGTTGTTCAGTATTTTCTCCATAGCCAATGCTAGGACAGCCAAAGGTGTATAAGGTTATTTTTTGAGACTTTGCTCATGCGAAAACTGAAAATGTCATTTGTGTCCAGGTATGTCAACAACTCCGTTTAGGGAGAATTTACACTGGCTCTCTGGCACCTGGCATCCCCTCAAAGCCTTTCCCTCATCCCTCTCAAAGCCTTTGGGTACCCCTCCTTGTTTACACACATGTCCTGTGATATCCCAAACATTCTACATCACCATTGATCCTGGTCTGTTGCAATCTTCTGTTGTCTTAGAAGACTCTCCCATCAGACCATGAGGCTGGAAGGCAGGGCTAGATGTTTTTGTTAATTGCTTCATCTTCAACTGATAACCGTGCCTGGCCCAGTGAATTGCCGCTGGTCTTCATAAACAATATTTTTTCTGGAATTTTTTTTTTCTCAGACATAACCAAATATATATGTAAGCAATACTGACATGTTACCATTTATTTAGTGAGTGCTATGTCTAGGCCCTGTACTATCATTTGGCATTTCAAACTTCACATTTCAAGTGAAGAAAGTTGAGTTTTCAGGAAAGCTGGTTGTTGACTGGCTGAGTCCGTTGATAAACATTTATAAAACTTCCTAGGTCACTGGGAGCACTTCTCTCCCTCTTCTCTCACCTGGCAGCTCCCAATTTTTGTCACCTCCAGCCTTTGACTAATACCCTAGGTCAGTGGTCGGCAAACTGCGGCTCGAGAGCCACAGTTTGCCAACCACTGCCCTAGTTAAAACCCCAGATACTTCTCACTTGAAATCCTTATTTCTCCATCAGCCCCCAAAATTCAGGACCTCTCTGAGATAGAGGCACACTCAAGCCACTGCTATTTTTCAGAGCTTTGGCTATGTGTAAAAATGAAGAAATGACAGCCTTTGAATTTGTATGATGGAATTGTTCTTCCAATTTGTCATTGTCCCTCAGACTATCTGTCTAAACCCATAGATGGCAATGACAACAAGACTCTACATTATAGTTTTCTGGGACCTTAGGCCCATGCAATTGGCCTCCAAAATGTGCTCTCCTCTGTCCACACCTTCCCAGGACACCAGCAGCCAACTTCTTCCTTTACACTTCATCAAAGGATGGGACTACACAGATATGGCTGGTGCCCTGTTCCCTTCCCCTTGGCCTGCACTATTCCTAGCAAGCTGGCCTTCTTCTTACCTGCCAGCACCTCATCTCTTCGCTGAGGGCTTTCTCTGATGGCCAGAGGAGCCCACCCACACAGTTGACAAGCTGCAAGGAATTAACATCACCTCCCTGCCCCTACCAAAAGCTACTCTTTTTAAAATATATATATATATATATATATATATATATATATATATATATATATATATATATTTTATTGATTTCAGAGAGGACAGGAGAGAGAGAGAGAGAGAGAGAGAGAGAGAGAGAGAGAGAGAGAGAGAGAGAGAGAGAGAGAGGTATCAATGATGAGAGAGAATGATTGATTGGCTGCCTCTGTCACCCCCCGCCCCCCCGGGATCGAGCCTGCAACCTGGGCATGTGCCCTTGACTGGAATGGAACTCAGTACCCTTCAATCCACAGGCCAACACTCTATCCACTGAGCCAAACCAGCTAAGGTCAGAAGCTACTCTTAATTGATGACTCTTGAGACTTAGAGTATAATTACCTCAGCTCCATCACACCTTTGCAGGGCTAGCTCAGAGGTGTTTGATCCACACTGTCTCCCAGAGGCCCCCATGCAACTGGACTCTGGCTTTCCATGGTGGTCACAGGCTAGTTGAGGCTCCCTCCAGTGGCTGCTCTCCCTTCCACATCTAATTCCCCCACTAGCCTGTAGGTGTCTGCTGGGACCATGTCCCTGAGAAAGCGCTTTGTGCTGCTTCTGGAGGAAAACAAACTCAGACTGTTTTATTTGTTTATTCACAAGATTTCTCTCACTACCTCATTCATTGAGTATGCAATGTTTTCTTGTTTTAAGGAACAAAGTGGTTGCGTTAAAATATTTTAATTATATGTTTGCCCTCTTGTCTTTCATTTGAAAAATCTTGTCTATTGTTGAAATTGTCCCTGCCAGTACCTTACCCCATGTGTGGACGTCTTCTAACTTTTTCAAAAGATGTTTGTTTTTCCCCTCTCAATATACAAACAGCACAATTAAATCAAGCAGTATTATTTCAAGAGTGATAAAGAATTATAGGCAAAAGTATTCCTGGATGGCCTGTGGGGGAAGCTGTTTTTATCTTCTCTGTCTGCACTCTTCGCTCATGTCTGTGTGTGATTTGCAGGGGGCAATGTCAGTGGACTCCATCACAGATCTGGATGACAATCAGTCTCGACTCCTAGAAGCTTTACAACTCTCCTTGCCTGCAGAAGCTCAAAGCAAAAAAGAAAAAGCAAGAGATAAGAAACTCAGTCTGAATCCCATTTACAGACAGGTTCCCAGGCTGGTGGACAGCTGCTGTCAACATCTAGAAAAACATGGTAAGCAGACTTATCCGTTAGTCCTAAAGACTTTCATCAACTCAGGCATCATTTACTTAAGCACCCAGTTTAATTCTGTGTTCATTTGATCAAACTCTGGGCCAAAGTTTCCTTTGTGAAGATAGTTTATGGCCCTAGCCAGTTTGGCTCAGTGGATAGAATGTTGGCCTGTGGACCGAAGGATCCTGGGTTCGATTCTGGTCAAGGGCACATACCTCTGTTGCAGGTTCCTCCCCAGCCCAGGATCTGATCAGGGTGCGTGCAGGAGGCAACCAATCAATGTGTTTCTCTCACACCGATATTCTTCTCTGTTTCTCCCTCTCTCTTCCACTCTCTCTAAAAATAAATGGAAAAATATCCTCGGGTAAGGATTTTAAAAAAAGATAGCTTATGGATGTGTTTGCTTAAGAGATTCCTGGGCTAACCAAGATTTGGGGAGGAGGGGCATCTACTTGATGGCATTCAGACTGACTAGACCCCAAGAGACTTAAAAAGTAACCCTTGAGGCCAATTTAGAGGAGGGCAAGAGAGGCTGGACTAGGTCTGTCCCCAGGGCCCCTTCAAACAAAGAAGACACACTTTTATCTTTTGTTACACATTGAAGTCACTCAAAGGTTCCCTTTAAAAAATAAGAGTCCAGCTTCTTAAAAAAAAAAAAAAAAGATTTGAAAACCATTTCCTGCAAGAATAGAAAATACATAGTTTTTAACAACAGGTTCCTATATCGCTATCTGCAAGAAGGGTGTCCACTTAAAATTTCTTCACAATGACCCCTTTGGCAACTCAGTTCCACACAGTATATTGACTTAAATACTGAAATTTAGACTTGACTCACCAAACGGCCATTTTTTCATAATCTAAATGTGTTGGCTATATAGTGTTAGGATGCATCTTATGGACAGAAGTAAAGTTTTTAACTGCTTCTTTACTATAAAACAGTATGCTTATTGTAATAAAGGAAAAAAGGAAGGAAAGCAAAGAAAAATGTAGACATCACTACTGTTTACATGCTCATTTCTTTCTCATAAAACTGGGACTTCATTAAAATGATTAAGATCATAGATAAATCTCTTTGAATCATTATATATGAAAATCACTTGATAACATATGAATGTCTTAATCATTTAATTAATTATATTGAAATTATATTTGTTTATACAAAATATTAATCTATGGGTCGATGTACATGTGTGTGTATGTGTTTATCTGTCTCTTCTTGGAAGATAAACTGGAGTTCAAGAGAAAGGTCGCAGTCATTTTGAATTAAAAAACAGTATCATGATTAGCACAATGTTCAATGAATCTTATTTGAACAGAATTGTTTTTTAAAATAGCTTAACAACTAAAGAGTAAAATACTATGAATAGGTCAACTCAGTCCCAGTTTCACTGTGAGGTAGAAAAAGAGACATTTACTTTTATAACTAGAATTTTCATGATAAAGTATATAGAGAGTGAACTATAAATATTTCTAAATGTTCTAAATAAGAAAATGCCACTTCAACCATGCAGGATTCCAGAGCCAGGTTGAGTAACTGCTTTTGTGAAAGAAAACTCGGTATATCTTTTTTTTTTTTTTTTTTGAAAATCAATTCTATTATGTAAACTAGCATTTCCTCTAAGCTTATTTGAAAACAGGGCAATTCTCTTTCCTTTTGAGAATAATTAAATTGCAGCTTAAGGCCTAAAGGAAAGAAGATAAGCTGGTGATCTCGAAGGCCCCCGGTTCTGTTCTGGGTTTCCATGGTGTTTGGACCAAATGGCTCCTGGACAATAAGAGTCACATGATCTCACTCATCTAGGGGAAATGGTGAACAACATGGACTGATGAATAAGAACAGACCCAGAGAGAAGGAGCCATGGGTCAGACTGTTGGACCTCAAAGGGAGGGTGGGGATAAAATGGAGAGATCAGCCAAAGGACTTATGTGCACACATATGAGCCTAACCAGTGGTTGAGGACAATAGTGGGGTGGAGCATGAGTTGGGGGGGCAGGGATTGGAATGGCGGGTTAAGGACAAATATGTGATACCTTAATCAATATAGAAATTTAAAAAAAACTAAAATACTATACAATTGAAAATACATATTATATTGTTATATCAAGAATGCCAAATATATTAAAAAAAGAGTCACATTCAAAATCAAACAGATATTAATCTTGTTCACTTTAAACCAATGAATAAAAAGCAAACTTCAGAAAACAATTCTTTCATAAAGCTTTGTTTGCCAGTTTTTGAAATGGGTAGCAAGAGTTTGATTCACGTTAGCCTTATAAAACATTTATCAATGATCTTTTTGTTCTCTCCAAAATGGGTCTAGACCAGTGGCCGGCAAACTCATTAGTCCACAGAGCCAAATATCAAAAGGACAACGACTGAAATTTCTTTGGAGTACCAAATTTTTTAAACTTAAACTTCTTCTAATGCCACTTCTTCAAAAATAGACTCGCCCAGGCCATGGTATTTTGTGGAAGAGCCACACTCAAGGGAACAACAAGCCACATGTGGCTCCGGAGCCGCAGTTTGCCAACCACAGGTCTAGACAATTAACTAGACTCCATCTATATGTGTGTGCACCATCCTTCCCCACTTATATTTCATCCCAATGCTTTCTGTACCAATCGGGTCAAAATTCCTTAACCTTCCCCAATTCTCCAGAAGCATACATGAAAGAAAGAGACACTAAATATCCATGTTGTACCTCCTACACGACACCTCTATCGGGGATCATGTTGGAAACCAGGGCCTGTGTCCTGACCGGGAATTGAACAGGTGACCTTTTGGTGCATGGGATGACACCCCACCAACTGAGACACACTAGTCAGGGACAGAATTCTATTTTCTCATCTGAACAATGAGCATAAGTATCTGCCTCAAAAGCTAAACAGTGATTCAAGATTAGCTAATGCATATAAACTACTTAGAACAGCGGTCACAAACCTTTCAGGCCTCATGGACCACCAGTGGTCCAAGGACCACCGGGTGGTGACCGCTGACTTAGAATATATCTGTCATGGACTATTATGTTAAAGGAAATATGCCCTCACTAAACTGAGAGAGTCTTCTTGTGCAAAATGAAAAATGTTAATATAATAGTTGGTTTCAGCAATTGTACTTTTGGTGAAACCAACTATTGGAGAGTCACACCCTGTGATATTTCTGGGATGTAGGCCAGTTTGAGGGTGGGGCCTCCTGCTGATTATGCCTGCCCTCCTTACTCAAGTTCCCCAGGCCTGACATTCAGGTGTTCTGGTTCTAGTTTTCATTTCACTTTTTGCTGAAAGGGAGAGAAAGGTGATCACGTCCATTTCTGGGGCAGGGCACAGTGAAGTCACGTTTCTTTGCCAGATTCTATGCCTTTTTCTAGGTACACTTGTTTTACCAGTGACTGTCTGAAGTCAAGGTCACTGAACGTCTACACTGTATCTTCTCCTTGAGGAAAATCACTGTGAGGCTTATTCAGCATTGGCTGTCTGAATGCTGTTATTTGCTATCCCTAAAAAAGTAAATAAATAAATACTTTTTAAACTTAAAATAATAGTCTATTGAGATATATAGTAATTATAATAATTGATCACTAAGTAGCTATTTTCTAAATCATAGTCATTTTTTTATCGAGTGGAAAAGTACTATAATTGAGAAAAGCATGTAATACAAATGGACATTTCTGAACAGCCTGGAGGAATTCAGCCAAATGAAGAATCTTGTCTGTGTAGAAAAATGTCCTTAATGTGATATCTCACCTATGTGGAAATTTCAACTATCTGAAAACCATCAGAAAATAAATGTGGCCAAAAGTACAATTGCTGAGACCAACTATTATATTAACATTTTTCATTTTGCACAAGAAGACTCTCTCAGTTCAGTGAGGGCATATTTCCTTTAACATAATAGTCCATGACAGATATATTCTAAGTCAGCGGTCACCACCCGGTGGTCCTTGGACCACTGGTGGTCCATGAGGCCTGAAAGGTTTGTGACTGCTGTTCTAAGTAGGTTATATGCATCAGCTAATCTTGAATCACTGTGTAACTTTTGAGGCAGATACTTATGCTCATCTTTCAAATGAAAAAATACAATTCTGTCCCTGACCAGTGTGTCTCAGTTGGTGGGGTGTCATCCCATGCACCAAAAGGTCACCTGTTTGATTCCCGGTCAGGGCACAGGCCCTGGTTTCCAACATGATCCCCGATAGAGGGGTCATGCAGGAGGCAGCAAATGGATGTTTAGCTTTCACATTAATTTTTTTCTGTCTCCCCCTCCCTTCCTCTGTTTCTAAAACTCAATTTAAATATTTTTAAAAAGAAATATAATTCTGACCTGGCTGGCATGGCTCAGTAGTTGAGCGTCAACCTATGAACCAGGAGGTCACAATTCGATTCCCAGTCAAGACACAAGCCTGGGTTGTGGGCTTAATCCCCAGTGGGGGAGGGGGAGCACCCAGAAGGCAGCCGATCGATGATTCTCTCATCATTGATGTTTCTATCTGCCTCTCCTGCTTTCCCCTCTGAAATCAATAAAAATATATTTTAAAAAGAAATATAACTCTGAATTTTATTTTAATATCTTGATTATCCTGTTTTCAAGCTCCCAGATAGGTAGAAGCGATGGATTAGGCGGGGGCTAGACTTGGTTCTGAGGCAGACACATTGATGACAGAAACAAGAGGGCAAGGAAGTCTTTTGAAAATAGATGCAAAGCAAAATCCCACCCAAGAGCAAAGTGCCAAGATAATGAGCCCCTATCTCACCACAATCCATGCAAGCTATCCTGGATACTCTCATTAGGCAGAGAAGTGAGAAGTGGGATATTTATGGATGTTATCATTCTTAACTGAAGATCCTTAGGAAACCAAACAAAAAGCCTTGTGCTTAATACATAATGTGGCAAGACCATAAAAGAAATATACAAAATATTGTACTAGTCAGAACTGTTTTAGTGGAGAGAGGAACCTCAATAACACTAGATTAAACAAAAGTTTTTTCCCCCTCAAAAGAAAATCCTATTACTTAGTGAAAGTTTGAGTATTATATATAAGTTCAGGCACAGCTGCTGACTATAATTTTAAATTTTAGGTTAAATGTTATATTTTATTTCTTTTTTATATATATAGAGGATGGGAGAGGGATACAGAGATAGAAACATCAATGAGAGAGAAACATCTATTAGCTGCCTCCTGCATACCCCCTACTGGGGATATACATGCAACCAAGGTACATGCCCTTGACTGGAATCAAATCTGGGATCTTTCTGTCTGCAGGCTGATGCTCTATCCACTGAGCCAAACCAGTTAGGGCTATATTTTATTTCTTCAAAATATATTTTTATTGGTTTCAGAGAGGAAGGGAGAAGGAGTAAGATAGAAACATCAATGATGAGAGAAAATCATGGATCAGCTGCCTCCTGCACACCCCCTCCTGGGGATCGAGCCTGCAACCCAGGCATGTGCCCTTGGCTAGAAACAAACTGGGGACCCTTTAGTTCACAAGCCGATGCTCTATCCACTGAGTCAAACCTGCTAGGGCCATACATACTACCTCTCGTGAAGTATTTTTGCCCCCAAATCAAACAGAATCAGAGGAGCTCTGCCTCTAAATATGTCTTCAGAGGAAATAAAGGGGAAAGAGGAACATACTAATGATACTACGAGTGTCCAGATGGTGGGGAAGTCTACAAAGGGAAAGCAATGCTATTTCTTCATGAAACCAATTAGGAGAAAAACACAGGCAGAGAGGGGAACTCATACATTAAGAGACTAAAAGGCATATCGATCTATCACAGTTTGTGAACCTTATGTGAATGTTGATTGGAAATTCAATGATATTAAGCAACTATTGTTGAAATGTCTCACATGTGACAGTGATAACACTTGTTTGTTTTAAGAGAGCTAATTGTTTAAGAGCAGTCTCTCAACCTCCACTATAACCCCTCTTCTAGGACATGATCCTAAGAAAATTAGAAATGTGAACCGAGACCTATGAACAGTTGTTCATAATAGGGCCATTTATAATGCAAAACAAGTGCATATGTGTTGGGGGACCTTATTGCCAATCAGAGGGGAATATGAAGAGAATTGTGGCATATTAATACTATAAAGTATTTGCATGCATTTTAAATGACATTTGCAAGGAATTTTTACTGGCATAAAAATCTTATAGCATAATATGGACTGAAAACGGTTGCATGCTCTCTCTTTCTTTCTCTCTCTCTCTCTTTCTTTATCTCTCTCCCTCTGTCTCCCTCTCTATCTCTTTCCCTCCTTTTCCCTCCCTCTCTCCCTCCATATATACAGGGTTGGGCAAAAGTAGACTTACAGTTTTGAATATGTGAAAGTTTATTCTTGTATTATTATTTATTAATTATTATTTATTTGCATTACAACTGTAAACCTATGTTTGCCCACCCTGTATATATGGAGAAATGGCTGGATAAAAAGAAACCAAAATATTAAGAGCGATTATTTCTGTATCAGGTATTTTTGAAGTATATTATTTTTTACATTTTTCTGCCTTTTATAGATTTTCTTTAATAAGTACATGTTTTATTTATGATCAGTAAAACAAGAACTATCTTTTAAATATTGATAAAGAGCTAAAAATTCATATAAAATTCATGATTAAGTAATTATGCTCAATAATAAGAGAAACTGTTGTATAACTTTTCTCATATGGAAGTATGGAAGTACATACTATCACATGAAAAATTGTTTTAGCAGAAATGTTTAGCATCAAATTATCCCATTGCTTGTATTGCTAACCTGTAGGTCCTGGAGAATGACAGTGGGCATATCATATCAAGTGATTATTCATTTGCGTGCTGTAGCCCAGTGCTGGCCTTCTGTTCTGTTTCTATTTTGACTTCCTCCAGAGTTTCACGCCATAAGACAGGTCTGTGATTTTGTTTGCTTCTTTGCAGGCCTCCAGACCGTAGGGATCTTTCGCGTCGGAAGCTCAAAGAAGAGAGTGAGACAAGTAAGTGAGAAGTAAAGATTATATTGTACGTTTCACTTGACTTTCAATTAAATTGCCTCATGTCAAGTTCAAACTTTTGCAAATTCACTTCAAAATATCTTCTCTGCACCTGCCTGCCAATTATAGTATAATTGAGTCCCGAGAGGTAGAAGGCAACAGCTCAGAAGCTCAGAAAGGTTGCGATTGAGTTAAGATCAAACACTTGAAAGCAAAACGTACAGACGTGTGCCTGGTGTGTATAGCCAAGAAAAACTGGTTTAGAGATACCTTACTGAAATGGTAAAAGCAGGAGACTCAGAGGGTACCTAATCAGTAAGCGATAAGAAATAGAAAATCATTAGACTGCACCAATTTTTTACTAAAATTCAATATGAATAATGCCATTAACATTCATATAACAAGATGCTTTCAGATGACCCTAGGACCCTAATAAATAATTCTCAAAAATAAAAAAATTCTTATGAAGTTTCCATGGAACCAGTGATCCCCAATTCATTTTTCATGTGGGACTGTAGCCTTGGCTTTCTTCAGCACTATGCCACATTCTGGCAGCAGAAGCTTGCTATTGGAGCTTCAGGAACAGGTTCCTCAGATCAGGCAGATGTCTGTGTTCGTGATGGCGTCATAAAAGGCAAACCATCCTTTGAGAAAAGAATTTATCTGTTGGCTAAAAAAAATTTAGAATATTTTCCCTGTGTTGGTTTCAACAGAAAGGAAGAAGCAACTCAACAACTAAAAAATGAAGCCAAATCAAAATTATTTTCAGTTGAATGAAGCTGAAGAGATGTTTAGATTATTGAAACTAACTGAGCTTGAATACCTCCTTACCTATCTTTTTTTTTTTTTTTTTCAAAATAAGAGGTCTTTCAAAAGAAGGGTGTTTTCTGTTTGGTTTGTTGGTTGGTTTTTATTTTCATAGTCACACAAGAGACTGTTGGGTTCTATGTCACAACAGGACTTGCAGGAGGGAAGATAGCATCGCAATATTTCTTAGGCCTGTGCAGAACTGCAGGATGTTTCCACAAACATTATCTCATTCAATCTGCCCACCAGCTCTGAGTAGCCCCTTTCAATTACTTCTTTTGAGGATTTGAGAGATTAAGAAACTTAAGTCACTAATATCACACAATGTTAAATTCAAGATCATACAATTTAGACCAAGCTCTTTCCATGGTCCATTCTTTCTGCATGTGTGTGTTCAAAAAAAGAAATAAGGTGTGTTCGAGCCCTGGCTGATTTGGCTTACTGGTTAGAGCATCTCTCTGTGGACTGAAGGGTTGCAGGTTCGATTCCGGTCAAGAGCAGATACCAAGGTTGCAGTCTCAATCCCCGGCCTGGTCTTGGCGCCTACGGGAGGCAATCAATTGATGTGTCTTCTCACATCGATGTTTCTCTCTGTCTCTCCCCACCTCTTCTACTCTCTCTCAAAAAATCAATGGAAAACATCCTTGGCTGAGGATTAACCACAAATAAACTAATTAAAAAAAGAAATATGATGTGTTCAAATGATCACAAGTGGGAATGGCACCAATAAAAGCCTTCTTTCTAGCTGCCTCATGCACATTAATGAACAGTTGCCTGGACAGCGGTTCAAGACAGTAATAGGCATTTTCTTCAGTAAAGAGGTGGTGTCAGGAATTACTCCTCAGTTATATCTGGATCCAGCAAAAGAAAAACTGCATAGAGATTATCTGATAACAATAGAATTCGTGGTCATTTAGATGTAGATTTCAAGAATGAAAGATTCTCTAACTTACATTTCATCTTGTTATATTCCTTCTTAGCACCCTACACTCTTACTTTAGAACAATTGTCACAATATTAACAGTTAATTAATCCTTTTTGTGATGACTAGGTTATTACCAGTTTCTCTATCAGCTTGAGAGCTGGGGAAGGGTTAGGAGTCTGTCTCTTCATTCACCACCAGACTTTGAGGGCCTGGTATATAGGCAGCATGCATCACATCTTTATTAAATGGATAGGTGAACAGGTGCTTCAACACATGAACTGTTACAGAAGCTCATTGCATTGAATAAATTCATAAACTCACAATTATTTATACAGCCAAGAACAATACATAAGAAAAGTTGAGCAGTCAGTGATGAAAGTAGGGGCCAGATATATGACTCCCTTCTTGCTAGTGTGTCTTCCTGCCACTGCTGTGAATGCTAATAATGATTTAAGGCATGGAAACCTTCTGGGAACTGTTACTAAGCTACTTTGACAAATATAAGGCAGCTTTTATTTAGTTATTGTCACCTTTCAAGATTTAGTCATGCATGGCTCATCGGGTTTTAAATTTCATTGTTTGCAGAAAAACTTTGCTTTCTTGTTGAGTACTTTTGGTAAAATGTCAAAATTCTAATGTGGTAGTAATGCTGATATGCAAAACTGCTGTATGGTGGATTCATTCCTTCCTCCCACAATTATAGTTGACCTTATCTTTTCCTCCCAACTTCTGGATATCATTATCAAACCCTTCTGCTAAACCCACAGATACTTCTATTTAATAATGCACTTACATGTATCTTCATGGCTGGGTTGCATAGACTCTGTAGATCAAGGCAACATGTTGTTTACATCTCCTCCTTGGATATTAAGTTTATGCAGATCTTTTCATATCGATTGATTGATTTCAGAGAGGAAAAGGGAGAGAGAGAGATAGAAACATCAGTAATGAGAATCATTGATCAGCTGCCTCTTGCACACCCCTCCTGGGGTTCAAGCCCAAAAGCTAGGCATATGCTCTTGACCAGAGTTGAACCCAGGACTCTTCAGTCCACAGGCCAACACTCTAGCCACTGAGCCAAACCAGCTAGGGCTATGCAGATTATTAAAACTAACTGAAAGAAATATCTCCTCATCTATGTAAACTTAATACCAGATGCTAAAATCACAGTGCTGCTTTTGCTGGGCACTGAACATAAAGATATGGTGTTATGAGACTGCCACTTGAACTGTTGTCTTTCCAGTTGCGTGAGGAATTTGACCGCGGGGTTGATGTCTCTCTGGAAGAAGAGCACAGTGTTCATGATGTGGCTGCTTTACTGAAGGAGTTCCTGAGGGACATGCCAGACCCCCTTCTCACCAGGGAGCTGTACACCGCTTTCATCAACACTCTCTGTGCGTAATACAGTCATCAGTAGGAATGTGTTCCTGGATTACCCGGATGTCCAACTCACTCATCCAAGCCTTGTGCATGTGTTTCACAATACCTTTTGGTCCCTATTGATTGGCCTCTAATGAGTGGGTTATTTGGGGAATTTTCTGGGATTCACCCTAGAGAGAATTAGCAAGAAGCAAGTTGCAATAGAACAAATGGATGCAGCCAAGAATTTGGGATGCTTTCAGATGACCTTAGGACAGTAGGAAGTGCTGTGTATTGATGCTTTGAAATAATAGCAAGAGTTCAGTTTGAGTCTGTGCCTAAAAAGAAGGTTGCATTTCTTTCACAAAGAAGGAGTGAGAAAGGGTCCCAGATTGAGAAATGGGGACAGGCAATATTCCAGGGAAGGAATATGGCTTAGCCCTGTGCCAGAACTTTCCCTATGGCCATGTGCAAGCTATTGAGACAGACCCCATGGAGGAGAAAAGGAAGGTGAGGGTATGGTAAGAATAGGTTAGAGTTGAGTCAGCCTCCATACCTTTCTTCCTCCAATGCTGTGATTCAAACAGGATCACAAAAGAGAGAGAAGACAGAGTCACTGCGCTGTGTCTTAGTTATTGCTCCCCCAAAGTCTATCTCTTCTGTATTGCTCAATAGAAAAGAGTTTCAACTTCAAATTTAAAAATGTTTGCCAATTCTCAATCATTGTTAGTAAATATTAACCAAAAATGAAAGACTATAATACATGAAGTAAATGATTAGCAATGCCAGGAAAAAGAAGGAGAAGAAAGTAAGGGAAATTACTGGCCTGGATTATAATGCTTGCTCTAGATGTTACATTTCCCCGGGTCTAATGAATCTTTATATCCTTCATAGAACCTTGCTGCTAAATTACTACATCAGTGGGAGAGGGGCTGAAGGAAATAAATGTGACCTAATAATCTCTCTCTGAAGAAAGTTGAGAGGAGGGCCCCTTCTCTGAACCTAAATAGTGTGCATTCCCCCGTTTTACTGACTTAGAGCACCTCTTTTTGCCTTGCTTAGTGTTGGAGCCAGAGGAACAACTGGGTGCCTTGCAGCTCCTCATCTACCTTTTACCTCCCTGCAACTGCGACACCCTCCACCGCCTCCTCCAGTTCCTCTCCATCGTGGCCAGGCATGCCAATGACAACGTCAGCAAAGATGGGCAAGAGGTATGCACCCTTCCTCTGCTATAGATATTGTGACTCTTCCCTGTACTTGTTTTAAAAAGGCAAGCCATCACCCTGCTGGCATGGCTCCGTGCTTGAGTGTCGACCTATGAACCAGGAGGCCATGGTTAGATTCCCAGTCAGGGCATATGCCCAGGTTGTGGGCTCGATCCCCAGTGTGGGGTGTGCAGGAGGCAGCCTGTCAATGATTCTCACTCATCGTTGATGTTTCTAGCTCTCTCTTCCTCTCCCTTCATCTTTGAAATTAATAATAAAAATATTAAAAATAAAATAAAAAGACAACCCATCAATTTGGTTAAAGATTTCACCTGGAGGAAATGACTCCTCCCTTTCCCAACCCATCTATGTGGGAAGAACTAATGCAGGGTTTTGTCTGGAGGGACAGTTCCTAAGTGCATTAACCACCTATGTTTCAATGATGCTTCTCAATGAGGCAGTCATTTTTCATGATGATGCCTTACCTCAAGACCTCAAATTTCCATTTGTGTGAAGCAGACAAACAATGAGCTACAGAGGTGCTTACAATCGTGAAAACATGGAGTAATGGAGATGAGGGGAGATTGCTGTCCTTGTAGTTCATTTGATTTGCTTCTTTAACTTGAGCTGAAATGTGATGTCACCTCAGTATTCTTCCTGTTTGTTCTTGGAGCTCCCTTCTGCCCTATAGCTAGAAGTCTACTATCTTCCTTTTAAGAGGTTCTTTCTCTCCTTAAACCCTTCCCCACAAATAGGGACTGGCTCAATGCAATGGAAGGGCACCCTGCTTCCAAACCAGATGTAGGAGGGACCTGAAGGCTTCCCGCATCTGAGCTCTTGGGCTCTGGTTCACTTTGGCCATCATCATATGCTTCAAAGTGTTTTTAGATGTGTGCCTTGGACAAGAGAGATGCTTGCTTCGATTTTAAGTGACCTTTTAGCGAGTGACCTATCTAATCTTCACCTTAACAGGAGACCTATTTCCCTTCTTGATACCATGCAGCCATACTTCTCCTTTCCCTTGAATCTCCAGGAGATCTCAGACCCTTCAATATACTAACACCCATTATAAATCAACAAGAAGGGGCCAGTGGCTTTCCACACTTCACCACAGAACTCAGCTGTGTTGTAGATTCAATCCCGTGTTTGCCCAATTTCTTTTCCCAAAGCTATGATTATATATAATTTTTTCACTTTAATCCAGAAAGGCGATTCTGCATGTCTTATCCTCATCCTTCCTTTAGGTATAAGAATGGAGCTTTCCTGAGTTAGCCATTTATCTGGATAGAAGTTATAATCAGTGAAACTTGTGCTGGCTTCAGATTTCATAATATGGTACTGACACCTTGTTTGAGCAGACATAGCTCTTTGATGGATACACTGTAATTCTCATAATTGTTAAGTAGTCATATTACCCCTCTGGGTGTCATCCTTTATCGACTATAGATATAACAGGGGCTATAGAATCACCTGCCTAATCATTGGGTAAAGACAGAGCTCTTTCTACGTTTCCAGGTGTGTCAGGGCTTCTGTGATGTCTCTTAAGTACTGTGTAAGAAGGAGAAAGTTAGGTCTCTGCTGATTAAGGAGAAGTTGAGGAAAACAAAAAGTCCAATTGAATTCACTCTTGCTTTCTTAGAATCATTTCAGACAGTCTTTTAGTCCAAATGCTGAACAAGATTCCATTGCCCATGCCAAGGAGAAGGAGATATTCTTGGATAGGTACAAATGAAACTTAACATGCTGAAATACTAGCAACCAAGTATGTGTCTCTTACCATGCTAGCTATGTACTAAGGACTTCATATATGATAGTGAATTCTTTATTACACAAGGGAGCTCTCATTGCCCCCGTGTTTCAGAAGTAAACTGAGAGTTGGAGGCATTAAGTACCTTTCCCAGTGTCCCACAGGGAACATCCATTTATGGTTATGTAGGTTGTGCATTTGTGCATTCCATAACTCTGGGGAGGTGCCATGTACCTCATAGTCAGAGTATATTTGCAGAGTGTTAGCAAGCAGAAGGCAGTAGAATATCTTGAGGAAGAGACTATTTTCTAATTTACATAAAGTTGTAATTTGATTTTGGATAGTAGTTGGTTTGGTCCTTCCCATCCCTCACTCTAGTTGAGACAACCAAAAGTATCTCTCGACATTGCCAAGTATCTGGTGGGTGGGAGAAGAGGCAAAATCATTCCCCTTGGTAGCTTTATAACTCACATACCATGTGTTCATGGAAAAATCTATTAACCTTCCTGAACCCGAGTGGCCTTATCTGAACTTTGAGAATACAAATTCTTCAACTGGCACTGTACAATAGTTTAGAACAGTGGTCGACAAACTCATTAGTCACCAGAGCCAAATATCAACAGTACAACGATTGAAATTTCTTTTGAGAGCCAAATTTTTAAAACTTAAACTTCTTCTAATGCCACTTCTTCAAAAATAGACTCACCCAGGCCATGGTATTTTGTGGAAGAGCCACACTCAAGGGGCCAAAGAGCCGCATGTGGCTTGCGAGCCACAGTTTGCTGACCACTGGTTTAGAAGACTAATTATTTTAAGGAATGTGAAAATATCCTAGTAACAGTGAAGTTATACAGGGAATGAGAGATTCCAAGGGTTTCTAGACACTCGACCAAAACATTGAATCAAAATGAAGGATTAATTAAGAAAAATTACAGTTTCAGGAGAAATACAAGCAGAACATTGCTTCTTTGAAATGGTTATAAGACTACAGTGAGGTAGAAATTAAATTGGGAAGTATGGTCAAGAAATAAAGCTGTTTTGCCCTGGCCGGTTTGCCTCAGTGGATAGAGTGTCAGCCTGTGGACTGAAGGGTCCTGGGTTTAATTCCAGGTCAGGGCACAGGCCTGGGTTGTGGGCTCGATCCCCAGTAGGGGGTGTGCGGGTGGCAGCTGATCTATGATTCTCTCTCATCATTGATGTTTCTATCTCTCTCTTTCCCTCTCCCCTCCTCTCTGAAATCCATAAAATATATATATTTTTTAAAAAGAAACAAAGCAGTTTTCACTTTTTTGTCTTACCTGTTCGTTAGTCTGTGTTAGATGTGTTAGCTGTTTGTTGGGTAGTTGTGATGGATTGGAACACAGAATAAAACTGAACCAGAGACTCAAAAAGCTTGGAGGCTTACACAGGCTCTGCCAGCACCTTGCTACATGACCTTGTATTTATAAAACAAAGAAAGAAGGAAAATAGAGTTGTGGTTGGGGGGAGGGGAGAGAAGAGGTTTGAGCTTCCTCCTTTATAAAATGCACATAATATTTCCTAATGGGTGCTTAAAAATTCAATGCATCATTAACCAATAAGATCACAAATCTGTTTTATTATAAAGAGGGACATGAGAAAAAAAATGTTCACTAGTCAGTCAGCACTTTTCTTGGGAAAAATAGTGGTATTTTATCGGGTTGCGTTGTTTTTCTATCTTGTGTTTGTTTGTTTTAGTTCATTTTGTCTAGTTTGCTATTTGCTTTGCTCCTTAGGGGAAAAATAAATTCCCGAAGTATGAAATATTTCATTTCTTCTAGAGAGAATATTGCTGGAGCATAATTGAAACCTCTTGAGCAGTGGTTTCTCAGGTTGTCCAAGAACCCTCTGGCACTAATGGGAAATGTGGTGTGAATATCCCCTTTTGTTGCTGAGAGAGTTTGAGACTGGCCTTTCGTTTACAAATAGCCACGAGGCAAAAAGAAGTCACTAACCACCAAAACGGAGGCTGGATTCTGACCTTTGAGGAGGTGCACGCCTCCAGGAAATGGGAGGTTGGCTTTGGAACTGCAGCGGGATCAGTGCCCTGGTCCCCACCCAGCTTGGAAGCCAGGATTTCATCTCATGCTACACAGGGTCTGCCACTCCAGTGTGACAGGGGGAAGGGTGGTGGAGAGGGCCTTCAGGGTAGAGATGAAGAGCATGGGGCTCCCTGGAGCCAAGCAAGCAGCTTCACTTCTCAGCCTCCCCAGCTCCAGGCTGCGGCTCTAGGCGTCACATCCCTGTCTGTAAACAAGGGCAAAGCAGCAGCTGCCTCCCCAGCTTCTAGCAAGAAGAATTGAAAAGCTCTGGGCCCTAACTGGTTTGGCTCAGTGGATAGAGCGTCGGCCTGCAGACTCAAGGGTCCCAGGTTCGATTCCGGTCAAGGGCATGTACCTTGGTTGCGGGCACATCCCCAGTGGGGAGTGTGTAGCTGATCGATGTTTCTCTCTCATCGATGTTTCTAACTCTCTCTCCCTCTCTCTTCCTCTCTGTACAAAATCAATAAAATATAAAAAAGAAAAAACTCTGGGAAGTCCCTTGTCCAGTGACTAGACATGCTAAAACTTCACTAAAGGTGAGCTGTTCACATTAGGATTAGAATGATCTAGAGGGCCCAGCTGATATGACTCAGTGGTTGAGCATCGACCTATGAACCAGGAGGTCACAGTTAGATTCTCAGTCAGGGCACAGGCCCGGGTTGTGGGCTCGGTCCCCAGTAGGAGGCGTGCAGGAGGCAGCAGATCAATGATTCGCTCTCATCATGGATGTGTCTATCTCTCTTCCCTCTCCCTCTCTCTCTGAAATCAATACAAATATATTTTTAAAAAATTGTCTAGGATGCTTATCTAGTAGAGATAGAATTTTGCCTTGAATTGGCTGGCTGATAATGAAATAAGGAACCAAACACAAGTGCACATTCTACGACCTAGACATAGCCTTATACATGCTGAGACGTGGGGAGCAGGGTGGAGGCTGCCACAAACAAGGCTCCAATTAAAAGCATAGTCAAACAGAAACAGAACAGCGCTAACAAACCACAGCAGCGTGGTCTGCAGCTGGAAGCCATGTGCAGCGTTACGGACAGATTGTGTTGCTTTCCCAGAATAGCAACAGGAGAAGGAGACAGCGGAAACAGATCTCTGGATCCTCCTTGTGCAAAACATTCTTTTCAAAGAAAACAAAATCTGAGAGACAACTAGGAGACAGCCATTGTGTCCTGGGATCAGGGCTCTCACCAGACATCCAATGGGCTGGCACCCTGAACTTGGACTTCCCGGCCTCCAGAGCTGTGAGAAGTAAATGTATGTGGTTTAAGCCAAAAGGAAAAAGAGAAAAAAAAGAAAATCTTTTATTTGGTAATATTAAAAAAAAATCAAGAAAGCTCTGTTATCACATTAATAGGGGAAAGGAACTCACTCCAAATGCTTCGGAGTTCTAGAGAGATGAGCTGGAAAATGGCACGTATTTGGTTATATCCTTCGCCATGAACTTGAAGGAAATAACATGAAAAATAAAATGAACACTTGTCAGATTTTATATCAACGAAATAAAACAAAGGAAAAAAAAATAACTCAGCAGTCATACATAAAGGGCACTTTCTTAAAAACCCCAGTGTTTACCGTGTGAAAGCATTTTCCTTGGCGGCAAACCTGCAAACTGGCTCACTTTCTAAAAATGATGTCCCCATGTTCCACCCTGGGATCGCAGGCCTGGTGGCCACCACTTCAAGGCTCCTCCCCACAAGAGCGGGACACAGGAAGCTTTGTCCTGGCTGTGACTCAGAACTCGAACTCTGTGCTATGTACCCAGCTGCCACTCAAACATTGTGCAGTCCCTCTCTCCCCCCAAGCAGCACAGTCCCCATGCTTATGCAGGAATTACTGGATTTTCAATATCAACAAGAGAAATAAAAAGTTGCCTAGCCCTAGCCAGTTTGGCTCAGTGGGCAGAGCATCAGCCTGTAGACTAAAGGGTCCCAGATCCGATTCAGGTCAAGGGCACGTTATCTAGTTGCAGGCTCCACATGCAATTCATTGATGTGTTTCTCTCATCGATGTTTCACTCTGTCTCTCCCTCTCCCTTTTACCCTCTCAATCAGTGGGAAAATATCCTCAGTGAGGATTAAAAAAGAAAAAAAATTGCCTAGACCACTGATGTTCAGCCAGGGCCATTTTGTCCCACAAAGGACACGTGGCAGTGACTCCTCCCTGGCCTTGCTTGCCTTTCCTTGAGAACCCTCTGCCACACAGCCCTTCCCGAGGTGCCTTGTGATGTTGACATGTTCCTGGCTTTGCACATGGCATTGTCACCCCTGGGAAACCGCCTTCTGCCCCTCCTCTTTGGAGTGTCCCTGCGGCCTCCAGAGTTGATAGCTTCATACTTTGTACTCACTACTTAGAATTTGTAAGTCTCTTTTCCCTCCAGAATGTGAACTTTTTTTTTTAAAATATATTTTATTGATTTTTTTACAGAGAAGAAGGGAGAGAGATAGAGAGCTAGAAACGTCAACGAGAGAGAAACATCGACCAGCTGCCTCTTACACACCCCCTACTGGGGATGTGCCTGCAACCAATGTACATGCCCTTGACCAGAATCGAACCTGGGACCTTTCAGTCCGCAGACCGATGCTCTACCACTGAGCCAAACCGGCTTTGGCCAGAATGTGAACTTTTAAAATAAGGACGGTGCTGTGATCCTTGTGGGAAATTTTTGTCAATAATTAGAATCCATGAAAAATGCCCGACCTGTGGTAGATGCTGAGTGGATGGAGACATGGAGAGATGATGGATTGATGGATGAAGGGGTAGATAGAGGGTGAATGGTTGGATGGATAGATAAATGGATAGATGGATATCAATATTTTTTATAATATATTTTATTGCTTTTTTACAGAGAGGAAGGGAGAGGGATAGAGAGTTAGAAACACTGAGGAGAGAGAAATATCCATCAGCTGCCTCCTGCACGCTGGGGATGTCCCTGCAACCAAGGTACATGCCCTTGACTGGAATCAAACCCAGGACCCTTAAATCCGCAGGTCAACACTCTGTCCACTGAGCCAGTTAGGGATGGATATCAATATTTTTAAAGGGCAGACAAGATAGAAGTTTTGTATCTTGTACCAGTTTCACAACAAATCACTTAGAGTTTAAAACTTTACTCAGTATGCTATTGAAATGGCCACTGTGCCATGAGCTCCAATCCAAGACATGAAGCAAAAGGAAAAGGATGGCACCTCTCATCAATTCTGCCAGAGGTGATGCAGTCCTTGCAAGGAAACAAAAAAAGGAAAGGAAAGGTTCCATTGGTTATTGAGCCACTCAGTTCTTTCATTCTCTGTTCCTGTAGGTCACGGGAAACAAAATGACATCTCTGAACTTGGCCACCATATTTGGACCCAACCTGCTGCACAAGCAGAAGTCATCAGACAAAGAATTCTCTGTCCAGAGTTCGGCCCGGGCTGAGGAAAGCACGGCCATCATTGCTGTGGTGCAGAAGATGATTGAAAATTATGAAACCCTGTTCATGGTAGGTGGTCCTTCTTTGGCAAGGCATCTTGGTAAGCTGTCTATTCATCACCTCTTGGTGGCCCAGTGTAACTCACACGCACCCCCTTCTGGTCTATAGTGCTGGTCACTGGATTCATTGGAAGGCATGCAGTTTCAATAGGAAAATAAATTTATAGCCTATGATATCACTGTAAGTTTGTGATTCTAGGTTTAAGCAAACATATTCAAATTATAATTTTCATTTTGTTGCACCCTAAACAATGGTCATATTCGGAGTCACTTATTCATATAACAGTATCCTTGCTCGAAATATTGACAAAACCATTCTCTTTGGAATTATATGTGACCCTCAGGAATTGATGTATTTATACCATCTTCAGAGATGGCACCTCCTCAAAGGTCAATATGAACATTTTAACTCCTCCATGAAGCTTTACCTATGTTTTTTGTGTCCTTCTCATGCCACTTACCCATGTTATTTCTCTGTCTCATGAAGCACATTATTCTTCTTCTTGATGCTTATCTTAGCATTGTGCTATAGTCATTTTTTACTATTTCCCCTAATAGATTCTAAACACATTTAGAGCATGGGTTGTGCCCTTGTTATCTCTTCTCTGTATCCTCTGGACACTTTTGGAAGGCCCTTCAACTGGCAGGCACTCAATAAATATTTTTTTGATTTGTATTGAATTTCCAGTTCCTGTTTTCCTTCAGAAAACTGCATCGCTTGCTCCAACTTCCCTTGAAACATGAGAACAAATGCCAACTCTTTTCTATTTCTGTTTACCACTCATATTGCTTGTCAGAAGTTACAGAAATGTCTTCTATGTTTCTTCTCCCCTTTTTCCTGTCAGTGTGCAAATACTCACCATGAATCTTACCTGTTCCACCAGAACCCATTGTGTCTCTTCCAGCAACTGTTCTAGTCTCCTCTTGTGAATCCCCTCAGTATTTTGTCTATATTTTTCAAATGCCTTGCCTTAGATTTATTTCCATGTTTTGTCTTATATCAGTGATTTTTGTGCATTTGAGAGCCAGTGACTTAAAATCTTTTCCCTCTGTGTCTTACCTATGTGATCATGACTAAGCAATTCAATACTCAATAAGCATCGATTTCAGTTTTATGAAGTGGGAAAAATAAAAACATGACCTATTTCCCAGGGCAAATCTCACCATCATTTGCTATGTGAGAGTATTCTACAAACTATAAAAGTCTATGAACCTTTTAATTAATATGTAGTGATATTCGTTAGGCTACATGACCTGGCTCAACTCTCAGGATGCAACACACATAAATATCTTGTTGACATAAAGTTTAATCAAATGTTTGGTTGATGGCCTTACATGTCATGATTTAGGAACCCCAGCTCCATGCATCTTGAGAAACTACAATCCTCTAGGATTTATGGGCCAAACCTAGAAGGGACATTCGTCATGCCCACTCAAATCCCATTGGCAAGAACTCACCCAAAAGCCATATTTAATTGCAAAGGAGGCTGGGAAAAGCATTCCTGTTGGATGTCCAGGACGCACAGGAAATGGATTTCGCACAGTGAAAAGTTCTCTGAGCTAGAACAGTGCCACACTTCTTGAGTCTTTGAAACTCTGTTCCTATGTTGCACAGAGTCAACTCTCAAAAAAGGCGGCATTTGTCATTGACTCTATATAAATTTCACACTTCCACCAAAATCCTCATAATTAATTACATACTTGGGTGAATCAAATGACTGAACTTATCAACCTTTGCATCAACTTTTTAAGTCACATATCATTTTGCCAAGCAGTCTTGGCATTACTTCATGCTCTCTGGATTAAAAATAATAATAATAATAATAATAATAATAATAATACCTCTCATCAATCTTAATTCTGTTCTTTGAATTCTGTATTCTAAGAACAGTTCTTTATACGAAACCACTAATCACCAGGCATCTCTCTTTTCACCTCAGATACTAAAACACCTCTTCCTGACCTCCTGGACAGTATGGTGGCCACATTTTAATTGTGTCATTCTTCTCCTTCCCATTTCCTGCCACCCGGGCTACTTAAAACAGCAGAAAAGCAGCAGTTTTCCACCTTTTCCAAATCTGATCTTTGCCGCTCTCTGTAGAATTGATGTTAAGACTCTCCTGAGTGATAATTCATATATTGGTTCCCCAGTTGCAGTCTCTACTCCTCACTAAGGCCTTTTCTGGCCACCTTGTCTAAATACAGCCCCTTCCCTACCTTGTACACCTTCCTCATTTCCTCTTCCCTTTTCCTGCCTTTCCTCCTTAGCACTCACCACGACCAATACAGGATTTTACTCATTTCTCTTTTTTGTTGAGTGTCTGCCCATTAGGATATAAACTTCATGACAGGGTGACTTTTTGTCCTTTTCCATCTACTTTCTTGACTGCATTACATCTGTGCTTAGCATTTGGTAAAACAAAGAAATATTGGTTGAATTAATAAATGACTCAATGGTAGTTTTATGACATATGATTTCCATATTACTGAAGTTTACTAATAATAAAGTTTATGTAAAAAAAAAGTTAGGCAGGAAGGAATTAAGGATAGCTTTCTCAAAATAAGTTAACCACTAATGTAAGCATTCTTAATCTCCTTACATGGATTATGGGAATTCCAAATGAGAAAAGCAACAGTGATTACAATATAAATCTATACTTTCTACGTGACAGGGGTGATGGGTAAACTATATGAAGCCTGGGTCAGTAAAAGGAAAACTGGCTGTGGAACCTTCTGTTTGCTATAAAAGTCTTTGCTATGCATGAACTATGTGACCTCATGTTCTCAGATTTCTATTTCTTTAGTTATCAGAGGATTGGGTTAGAATAAATGATTAACCAAGATCTCTTCTAGTTCTAAAACCTTCAGGATTCTGTGCCCTCACACTAACTTTCCATAAAGCACAGAAGAGAATTAAACTCATCATTTCATAGATTCTCTTGGCATATTTGGCATTTCAGAATCTATTGGTTATACCAAAGCTGGTGGCTAGTTGGCAAAGCTGGTCTATGTGGGTGGACAAAAATGCAATGATGGATATAGCTGCTTCATTTTGTTTTGTTTTTAGGAAACTTTCAGAATTAGTACAGTAGTTCCGAGCAAGAAAGAATAAAGCTAGACTGGACCTGCGAGCTAAAGGCAGTTCACAATTGTGCAGTTTCCCAGTCCTTGGAAGGGTTTATGAGCTCAGAACCAGACATCACTTGCCATGGGCACTAGAAGGGAAGATTTATTAGAAAAGGTGCTTGTGTGTTTGTCCTTGAAGGCAGAATGTACCCTGGAAGCAGCAATTCCGCAGAACTGATGGAAGGGATATAAAAACCCACAGAGGCCTGGCAGAGATCCAGAGTTTGTTCTGAGTGTTAATAATGTCCTTCATTTCCTGATGTTTCTTCCAACTGGCCAGTATCTGAGGTAATTGGAAAGGGCAAAGAGGAATCTGGCTTTGTCCCATAGGACAGAAGAGTTGCCTAGATTCAAAAGTCCGACTAGGACAGTCTTTTGCACCAACTGTGTGCTTTTTAGGCTCCGTGTTGCAAACCCTAGAGCTGATTCTGATGGCAGCCGTCTTGGGTACTTTATTGAGCAGTGCCCACCAAGGCAGCAGATTGTAGTCACTATTCTCCAACCAAAGCATGCAGCAGACTCCCAAGGAAATGTGTCATATATTCAGATTCCTGGGCCAAATTCCAGAGAATCCTATTGAGTAGCATTGGGCTGGGGCCCAGGAGTCTGGACTTTCTAATGAATGTCTCCAGGCCATTCTGCTACTTTTCTAATCATACCGGGGGGGGGGGGGGGGGGCGGCAATGGTAAAATATGTACACAGATAATAATTTAATAAAAAAATAAAATTAAAAAAAATTTTTTAAATCACACCTCGGGAAACCACATGTGAGAAAGATGGCGGGAAGACTGTGAGCTTTGGGATGTGCTACTGCTACTGGAATTCAAATCTCTGCTCTGGCATATATTTGCTGTGTGATCTTGGCCCCATGCTTAACTTTCCCACGACTTCATTTTCCTATTGTAAAAAGAGAAAGATGGAGCTATCTATAGGATTATTTTGAGAATTAGAAATGACATATGAAGGCACTTGGGACAAGAATTGACATATACCAGGCACTAAAAAAAGAAGATTGCTGCTATTATTGTATGACATTGATAAGATGTCTGTCCTGTCAAAGCAGGTGTTGCTGCCAGACTAAAAGGGTCCATTTGCCCTCATGCATTAGAAACTAATAGGGCACGAACAGGTTCTTGCAGCAAAGGAAGTAAGGGTTTATTTTCCGGAAGTGGCCTGTACCCAGAGACAGGTAAGCATTTAATGCCCAAAGCCTGGCTCCCTGGTGGCTTTCAGGGAATGGGTTCTATAGGGGAGAATCATTAACCGTGGTGACTAAGGGAGTTAGGATTGCGGTCAGGGTCATGGTCTGGTAGTAGTCTCTACCAATTACTTGGTGCTAAGATACCCTGTTTCCCCGAAAATAAGACAGTGTCTTATATTATTTTTTGCTCCCAAAGATGCACTAGGTCTTATTTTCAGGGGATGTCTTATCTTTCCATGCACTAGGTCTTATTTTCAGAGGATGTCTTATTTTCAGGGAAACACAGGAATTGATCAGTGATTGTGCTGATATCAGCCATGGCATTGTTCAGTCTTGTGTTACTGTTTTTCTGGGCCTGGAGCCTGGAGCTGAAACACAACTGAAGCCTCGGTGTTATCTTTAGTTTGATCGAAACCCTGTCTCTGTGGGCAACAGACCCAAGGATTTATTCCTAAATTTTTATGCCAACCAGAACCTCTTTGTCCTGAGGGCTCAGTGATTAGGAGAGTGGATGTGCAAGGGGAAGTAGCAGGTGAGTCAGGTGCTGGACGAGGCTAGTTTGAATTGAAATGGAAGGAAAGAAGGAAGGAAGGAAGGAAGGAAGGAAGGAAGGAAGGAAGGAAGGAAGGAAGGAAGGGAGGGAGGGAGGGAGGGAGGGAGGGAGGGAGGGAGGGAGGGAGGGAGGGAGGGAGAAAGGGAGGGAGGGAGGGAGGGAGGAAGGAAGGGAGGAAGGAAGGAAGGAAGGAAGGAAGGAAAGCCATGTTGAGAAAATGAAGTGTCTCCATGGTTAAAGTATCTCTTTTGCAAGGAAGAACACCCTGACCACTCTGTATAACAGCGTGACCTGCATTTTGTTGTTGGTTTATTTTTGGTTCAGTGTCTACACTCCTTCGATTCCTTTATCTTTATTTTTTAATTTATTTATTTTATAAATAATTTATTAACTTATTATCTGTGTACATATTTTAACATTAACCCCCCCCCCCATTTCTAATATCAACAACCATTTAAAAACTGTAAAATGGCCAAAACCAGTTTGGCTCAGTGATAGAGCATCGGTCTGCGGACTGAAGGGCCCTGGATTCAATTCTGATCAAGGGCAGGTACCTTGGTTGTGGGCTCATCCTCGGTGGGGGGTGTGCAAGAGGCAGCTGGTCGATGTTTCTCTCTCATCGACGTTTCTAGCTCTCTATGTCTCTCCCTTCCTCTCTGTAAAAAAAACAATAAAATATATTAAAAAATAAAATAAAAACTGTAAAATGATACTCTCTGGGACCACTGGGAATGAAAGAGAAGGATGCTGCATGGATGTCTATAAATGGCCCCGGGCCTCGCCAGGAGGCAGAAGCGTGCACTGACCATCTCGCTCACACATTCATGAGTCTGAAAGCTGCTGCCTGATACTGGGAATCCCAGAGAAAACTCATCCTTGCTCTTGGAATTAAGAACTTCAGAGCAGATTGGAGAAAACTGCCAGCTCCTTCTGAGGGTTGATGTCACACGATGCCTACTAGGGCTACTTTTTGGAGAGAGAGAAAGGAGAGAAGGCAGCACCCATGGGTGGTGAAAAGTCCGGGTGCAGTGGAGAGGTGGGAAGGCCAGAGGGTTCCCACCCGGCGCTGCGGCAGCCTGAGCTGGGGACCGGCACAGCATGTGGGAAATTTCAAATGAGAACTCCTGGGAAAAGGGGTCAGAGGCCAGGACGAGGATTCCAGGCTCTGAAGCCAAGCTTTGCTTTGTGTTCTCTTCATTCCCCAAAGCAAATTGCATTTTCTTAAATCCCCATTTGCATGCCAAGTCCAAGGCTGCAGGCAGCGATCCAGGTCATCAAATAAGAAGCGCCCCCTACCAACATATCCGGAAAGTGAAATAGGATTTCCATTTCCAGCTTATGTAACCGCCTTTTAAAGAACCACTGTGCACGTGCCTGAGGTTGGCCACCACTTATGGACATCACAGGCTTATGTAAATTTCACCACCATTTCATGGAAAATAAGCCAATGTTTTTGCCTCAGCGATATATTATAGCAACCATGTGAATGATCTCTATAGCATGTTGTTCGCACATAGGACAGGTGCTTCAGGGTGGCATTTCAGATACAGAGTTCCTTTGCAAGGAAGAAAGAGAGTATTTTAGCCAGCTTGAAAGGGAAGAGTCAAGGAGGCTTTAATGGGATCAATCCCTCTAGACTAGGGGTGTCGAACTCAATCAGAGAAGGGGCCAAAATCTAAAATCCAGCCTAAATCTCGGCCCAAATGGTTTACTGAACAGTCATAAACTGTCATTGTGATGGAAACGCAGCGGAGTGCAGTGATGACAGCTCTGTGCGGGCCACATTGCAAGGCCTGGAGGGACGGATTTGGCCCGCGGGCCTTGTGTTTGACACATGTGCTCTAGACCGTTCATAACACTAACCTGCCTGAAGTCCAGGCCAGCACATGGCTGCAAGAGCCAGTGCATGTTGCTGCTAGAGCCTGCTCACAAAGACAGATATGTGCACTGTTGGCAGCACATGCATGTAGGGGAACATACCTCCCTTTTAACCAAGATGGTGCTGAAAGCTAAGAAGGATGCCCCTGCCCTCCCAAAGCCGAAGCCAAAGCAAAGGCTTTGAAGGTGAAGAACACAGTACGGAAAGGCGTCCACAGCCACAAAGAGAAGATCCACACATCACCCACCTTCCGGTGGCCAAAAACCAAAGACACTGAGGCTCTGGAGGCCACCTAAATATCCTCAGAAGAGTGCACCCAGGAGGACAAGCCTGCCTGCTGTGCTATCATCAGGTTTCCTCCCTCCCCCCCCCCGCCCCGACCACCGAGTCAGCCATGAAGAAGCTAGAAGAAACAAGACACTGGTGTTCATTGTGGATGTCAAGGCCAACAAGCACCAGATCAAACAGGCTGTGAAGAAGCTCTATGACATTGATGTGGCCAAGGTCAACCCTCTGATCAGGCCTGATGGAAAGAAGAAGGCATATGTTTGACTGGCTCCTGATTATGATGCTTTGGAGGTTGCCAACAAAATTGGGATCATCTAAACTGAGCCCAGCTGCCTGATTCTAAAGATAAAAAAATTTACATGGTGAAAAACAAACACACAACCGTATTATACCTGAGCTGTTTCTACTTTTTTTTAACCTCCTGCCATAAAGCACATTCTGTGATTTTTTCTTCATCTTCCTTCCTTGAGTCATCCTTTAACAAAGCACCTTGGGGCTCTTTGGTTATATTATTAATATGCCTCAATCGCCACATACTGCCTGGCACATATCAGGCACTTGGAAAAAATATGTTAAATTTAATGAATTCTGACCCTCCAAATACATTCAGACACCCTTACATAATATTAAGCAACCTAATCAGTTCAGATTGTCATTATTATTAGAAAATATTTTAGAATAGCTGTTTGACTATGGGAAATTGAGGCAATACAATAGTGATGTTAAAGAATAATTGATTGGCTGCCTCCTGCATGCTCCCTACTGGGGGTTGAGAGCACAACCTAGGCCTGTGCCTTTGACCAGAATAAAATCCAGGAACCTTCAGTCCACAGCTTGATGCTCTATCACACTTCACTCCAACATCTGGCTCTTCCCAGGTTGCATGTGGGGCGTGTATGTGTGTTTCCTGATTACACTTCACAGACTTTCTCTCCTACTCTCATATTTAATTTTTTTTTAATCCAGAGAAGGTCAAACCTAGTCAGTACCTTCATTAGTAACTATTCTTCCTCCACGAGGGACTACCCCATGGACTTGTATTAAACAGGCTATCCAACCAAGCTCTTTATAGAAAGGGGACCAACAACTGCTGAAGACGCAATGAATGTTCACAAGGTAAACACTGTCAGTCACATCTTATTTTGGGACTGAGACATAGGATTCAATCTGAGACTCACACATAGGTCCAGGCTGAGAAACATGACTGAGGACTGATTTAAGGCGGCCTCCTGACACTCTATGTTAATGTGTTAAGCTGACTAATTTGCCAAACTAGATGTGGTGGAGATATCATACTGTCTACAAAGACAATGAAAGATAACAGGAATGGAGAGGTACCCTACTGAGTACCCAGGTAAAAGTATATTATATCTCTAAAGGTGAAGGTTACCTGTAGCTACAGTCTGTTGAAATAGGTACTGAGTAGAACATGTCAGTCAAATGCTTTGCTATGACTGCTCATTATTTACCAGTTTTTGTTTTTTGTTTTTGTAGAAGCAGTAATTTTAATAATATTAGAGATGGATCCCTAATGGGTGTGACCATGACATGAATGGCCTTAAAATTCACACGGAGGCACCAATCATACTTCCAGGTTTAAGAGCAAGTCAAATTTGGCTGTTAAATTCAGAAGCAGAAGGAACAATTATACCTTCTCTAACTAGGTCTTCTATAATGGGTGTCTATCTGTGAAGGTCCTGTGTCCATTTACATTGGGTCCTTTTTCAACAAGGGTGAAAGGTGTTATTTGGTAAGTAGAGGGGAGGTCCACAGGTAACATTTTGTCATGCTGATTATAAGGGCAAAATATTTATTTTGTTATTCATTAGTTCAGATTGCCATTATGCACTAGAAAATACTTTAGGACAATAGGTGCTTTGGCTATGGGAAATGAGGCAATACAGTAGTTCTAATGGTCAAGTTCAGACATATTTGTATCTATTTCATTATCAGAAACCCCTTTTTATCACATTCTCCAAACGTTGGCTGGATAGGGAATAGAAAGGAATGAGGCTTAAAGCTGCCCATAGTCTAACATCTAAACTGGAAATCAGATTCATTATTACACACTGCCAACCCTCACACAACACCCTGTTCCCCATCAGCCCTCCCATCACCACCCCTGACCCCCAATGCCAAACACAAGCAGAAACAACTTCCTTACTTCCTTGGAGTATAATAAAGTGTAAAAGAAAAAAAAACATCCGCAATCTTCACTTTGTCCTTATTCTCAGGGTCTGGCTAACTTTGAAATGGCTGGTCTGGTGCCCAAACTTGTAGAATTCTACATCCCTCCCTTCTCACATACCTGCCCCCTTTGTTCCCTCCCCATCATCACAGAACACACAAAAAATACAAACACATTTCCTTTATACACAAATCTGGTATTTATTTAAGGAGACCATTTATGTTTTGATCTCATAATGCCCATTTCTTAAGCATTTTTAAGGGTCTTCTTCTTGTTGGGCCTGGGCATCACTTGTGGAAGAAGAACATTCAGGAACTTGTACTTGTTCGTTTGTTGGTTCGCTTACTGGAGGTTGTGTGCCCATCCTGCAGTGAAATACATTAATCCTTCTCTTTTTGCCTTTACCCTTCTGGTCCTTATTCTTCTTAAGGACGGAATTCACCAAAGTCATTATCTTCGTTACCTAATTGGGAAACAAGTTAAACACAGAAAGACATTGGTTTTGGGGGAGAAATTGGGAAATGGGTGGGAAAAGGGTTTATAAAAGAATGACAAGGGATTGAATGAGGAAGTGTCTGTGCCAAAAAAACACAAGGCCAGAATCTAGGGTGAGGAATTACTGGGGAAGAGGAAGCATATGAGTAGGGTAGACTGACCTTCTTCTTCTCTTTGTCATTGAGTGGGAAAACTGACTTCCAGTTCACTTTAGTACTTGAAGTATCTTCCTCCATCCTTGTGGTTGGAATCTGATTCCTTATCTAAACTAGTCTACAATATTTTCTTAGTAACTTTGGCTTTGTTGTAGCAACAGACCCTACTCCAAGGCTCCTGGCCTCTATATATACTCTCTAGGACAATGGGGGGGGGGCACACCCTTCAACTCTGATTGGCCAACAGCCAGGGGTTGCCATGGTGTGGCTTGACATCACAAAGCCTCTGCTTGACCATCCAGGATGGGGAGGTGGGAGAGGATGCAGAGGACTCAGATGTTCTGGTTAGAGGAAGGGGAGCTTCCTCAATACCGCCTAAAGTTTTTCTCCAACTGACCTCTCTCTCCCTCATTTCCTCTGGTTCAGTTATTGCCCAGCATATGGCAGGGAGGTGGTGTTTCCTCTAAGCCATTTCCCATACACCCCCATCATTCAGTGGTCCATTCCACTATCCCCCAGATATCACCATTACCTAGCACGTCATGTCTTGTTTTAATGAATGTTTTATTTTAAAATAGTTTTAGATTTATAGAAAAATTATGAAGATAATACCCAATTTCCTTTACGTTATAGTTGCGCCATACCAATGTCAATAATGGAGTAATGGAGGTGATTCCTCTCCTATATGTCTTTGCAATATGGAGGGGAACCTTTTCCAAAATCTCCTGCAAGACCCACCTTGAGGTACCTTGGTCAGGACTGACACACGTGATCTTGCCTTGGCTGCAGAGGAGGGTAGCTGACAGAACTACAACTTTAAGAGTCTGTATGAGTTCCAGATAAGCAAGTCAGATAATCTCTGACTTCTGGAAATTTATCTTCTAATGTTGTGACCAACCCAAAGGCTTGAGGTCTGATGGAAGAGAAGGAACCAAAAGGGAGAAGCTACACAGAGTCTGACTTTAAGACCATTGCAGTTGAGGGGCGAAGAACTCACAAAATGGCCCCGCTGGCATGGCTCAGTGGTTGAGCATCAACCTATGAATAAGAAGGTCATGTTCAATTCCTGGTGAAGGCACATACCCTGGCTCTGGACCCAATCTCCAGTAGGAGGCATACAGGAGGCAGCCAATCAATGGTTCTTGCATCATTAATGTCTTTCTCTCTCTCTCTCTCTCTCTCTCTCTCTCTCTCTCTCTCTCTCTCTCTCCTCCCTCCCTCCAACTCTGAAATCAATAAAATATATTTTTTTAAAATCAAAAAATATAATTCTAAAAATTCAGGGGGAGGTTAGGAGCAGAGACATATCAAGAGAAAATCCTATAACTTAGTTACCCACCACAAGTGTTAAGCAGAAGAAAAGAAAGTGATGCTTCTCCATGAGCACACAGGGTAAGAGGCAGCAATGAATGGCTTAGTCAAGAAGAAAATTGCAAAGCAAATATTGGCCATCTCCATGTTATCTGCTTGTATTTTTTTTAAGTATTTAATTTGTCTATTCTAATAAAATATTTTAACTCTAAACCTCTTTACAGTTGGTAAGGTACTTTCAAATCTTCTAGCCCTTTTGATCCCCATAATACCTCCTTAAAGAATAGATAGGATATGCCTGGATTTTCAGATGCTGAAACAGAATCCTACAGAAGATGGTTCATGTATCTAAGTTTACATTCATTATAAGCAGCAGAGCCAAAACTTGGACCTCAGGGGCTATCAACTCTTAGTCGGATACTTTTCAATGGCATCCTAATTCCTGAGAAGGAATGCTTATGGGAACAACCTACCTGGATATTACTTACTGTTAGCTCTTTTTTCCTATAAATTTATTCCTTTTACTTCTGTTTCTCTATTAGGTATCTAAATTAATAGAAAATGAATGCTTATCAAATTTAACTGAGCAATTCATTTGAAATTGTTATTAAATAAGAGCCAGTGAAGTGTACAAATATATACAAAAATTAGAGGTGGAAAACGGCAGTGGATACTGTTGTCGGGATACTAACTCAGCTCCAGGTATCATTTCAAATTATTTATATTCATTTTCCCAATGGCCCCAATTTTCTTAACCATTCCTTTTTTAAATTGATTTTAGAGAAATAGAAATGGAGAGAGAAACATTGATGTGAGAGAGAAACATTGATCGGTTGCCTCCTGCATGCACCCCAACCAGGGATCAAACCCACAACCTAGGTATGTGCCCTGACCTAGAATTGAACCTGCGACCTTTTGGTGTACAGGACAACCCTCCAACCAACTGAGCAACCTGTCCAGGGCCATATTAATCTTTGAAGCTGCTTTAAATCATTTTGTAACAAAATGAGCTTTAAATAAATTACTTAAAATAATGGATTATGTACACTGTGGTCAGCCTTACATAATAATCGGAAAATATTTTCTACCCTTTTTGTAGTACATGGATGCACATTTTTAAGTATGTATTTTTATTCATTTGTAAATAGTGTTTCCAAGCCAAATTTGTATCCTGGGTCTTTTAGAAAGAAACTATAGATAGACTTATAGCACTGACCCTTTCTATTTGCATTAATTACCAAGTAAAAGTCACATCCTATATAATAAAGAGGTAATATGCAAATTAAACCTCATGCCCTCACAAGATGGCTGCCTACAATCAAGTTGGCAGGGGTTTAGTAAGGGACGACCAAACAACTGAACAAGCAGGCTATGTGAGGCAGCTCAGCCAGTGGAGGGGGGCCAGTTAAGGGTGACCAGGCTGGCAGGCAGGTGAGCAATTAGGAGCCAACAATCCAGGATTGTGAGAGGGATGTCCACCTGCAGGTTCATCCCCCAAGGGCTCCCAGATTGGAGAGGGTGCAGGCTGGGCTGAGGGGACCACCCCCATGCACGAATTTTGTGGGCGCTGGGTCTCTAGTATAATATATAAAACAAATCTCAGTAATTATAATTGGTTTGCAATCAGACCTAGTGAAATGAGTGAAAATTTTAAATTGCAGGGTAGTTTAACAAAATTTATGGAAAATTATTTTTTAAATAATGATACTTCCTGTTAGCTATTCTAATTATGTATCCAAGTTAATTTACTATTAGACCCACCATATACTCTGAAAGAATAAATAGTGATACCACTACTTAGAAGGACTTGCATGCTAGTTGCTTATTTTTTGGTGCTTGTAGCAAAAATAAATAAATAAATAAATAAATAAATTACTACCTGGTCTAAGAATAGAAATTTTAAAATTAATCTAACTGGATGAAAATACACATGTTTAATAATTTGGTTATGTAATTTTGGGCCTCTATTATTTTTTGCTTTGCTATTTATTTTTTTAAAACTGAGTACTCTCGCTTCTCATTTTCCCTTCTCATCTTAGGTATTACCTTTTGGGAAAAAATTGATATAAGCATGCTTATCTGTTGGTGATGTTATTTGAAAAATTTACAATAAGCCGAAACCGGTTTGGCTCAGTGGATAGAGTGTCAGCCTATGGACTGAAAGGTCCGGGGTTTGATTCCGGTCAAGGGCATGGACCTGGGTTGCGGGCACATCCACAGTGGGGGGTGTGCAGGAGGCAGCTGATCAATGTTTCTAACTCTATCCTTCTTCCTCTCTGTAAATAATCAATTTTTATATATATATATATATATATATATATATATATATATATATATATATATATATATATATATATTTTAATTACAATAAAATTATCAGTCCTTTTATTTGTTTAATGTGTTCAATAAAGTAAGAAAATAGAGTCTCTGAGCCTTGACCTAAAAGTCCTGTTCCTTTCCTTCTTTCCTTCTCATTCCCAGGATATTGCATTTGGTCAAAGAACTTTAAATGCCATCTGTGTGTGTCTCCCAAATTTCTATGTCCAGCTCAACCCTCCCCCGGGAACCCCAGATCTTTATTGCCAATTGCCTACTAGGTCTTTCCTTCATTCAGATGTCTCATAGGCCTCTTAGCCTTATTAATATCAAAGCCACACTCCTAATCTTGACCCTGGCCTCTTCCTCCTACAATTCTCTGTACCAGTCAATGGCAACCCCATCCTTCCAGGTGCCTAAGCCCAAAATGTTGGTCATTCTTTCTTCCTTTCCTTCTACTACTCATTCTCTCTTTTTCTTTCTCCACCCACAAATTAGCTATGCCACAATCTCTGTCTTTACTATCTCCAAGACCCAAATCATTCTCATCAGCTCACCATTATGGTTCAACACTCCAGCATCTTTCTAGATGTATCAACAGTCCCCATCTGCACTTCCTGATTCACTCTTGCTTTCCTGCAATCTGTTATCAACTCAGCAGCCAGAATGATGACAATTAATGTCAGTCCTCTGCCCAGAACCTCCAGTGGCTCTCCACCCACTTAGATTGAGAACAGAAATCTTTATCAGACCCATAACACTCTGCAACCTATGGCCTTGGCTACCTGATCCACTTCCTATGGCTAGCCGCCTTCCTCTCCCTCTGTTCCACCCTCACTAGTCTCCTTGCAGCTCCCGATTCCAGATCTTGTGGATTTTTTCTTCCTTTTGCTTGGAATGACTTTCTGTAATTGCTTCATCAACTTCAGTTCTCTGCTAAAAGTCAGTTTCTCTCTGACCTGACAATACTATTTAAATTGTACTCCCTTCCCTAGAATTCTCCATCTGCCTTTCTTAGCTTTGCTTTTCTCCATGGGATCCATGCTATGCTTTGTTTGTTTAATGTCAGGCTTCTCATATTCATTGTCAGCTGCTATGAGACAAGGATTCTTATCTGTTTGATTTATAACTGAATCCCCGATTCCAGTGCTGGGTAGTCAGTGAGCACTCACTGAATATTTATGTATGAATTAAAGGAAGGCATTGGGGAAAGGCCAGAGTGAGAACATGGTCTAGGTTACACTTCACCCTTGAGCCCTTGAGATTAGGGTTGGTAAACAGTTGGTTCTCCAGAGGGAACTTAGGGTATAACTGTTCTAAGAAGAGAGAAATGGGGGCTGGAAACAGATGACCACTACAGAGAGACAATGAGGGCTTGAACTTGAATCATTGCAGTTGGAATGGAAGACAGAGGAAGGAAGGAATGGGCATCATGGAGATGAGATCTCCTGACTCTGAACAGGGAGGGCAAAGGACACAGAGAAGCTTAAATGCAACCCAGATTTTGCATTTGTGAGAGTAGGGTTTGACAATGTCATTAATAGTGATTCAGGATCAAGTAGGAGGGACAGATTTATGAAAGAAAAAAACTGTTTTGTTGCTTTCTCATCCCTGTTTTCATTAAGAAAATTGTTTCCAGCTTCTCAAAGCTCAAGAAGAATTGAATGCTACAAGAGGCAGGAGGCAAATTCTCCCACCAACCACTCATTCTCTGAAGACTTGTCCCCACAGTCCTTAAGAGTCTTATCTCCAGGCCCACATCGGAGAGAATCAGACTGAAAATGTTTCTCTCAACAGTTTGAATTTCCTTTGGTTGAGCTACCAACATTTACAGAAACATTAGAGCTGAATTTAGTCTTTTCTTTTCTTTTTAAAATATATTTTGATTGATTTCAGAGAGGAAGGGAGAGGGAGAAATGGATAGAGACATCAATGATGAGAGAGAATTATTGATTGGCTGCCTCCTACATGCCCCACACTGGGGATCAAACCCGCAACCCCGGCATGTGCCCTGACCTGGAATCAAACCAACCTTCTAGTTCATAGGTTGATGCTCAACCACTGAGCCACACCAGCTGGGCCAGTCTTTTCTTGTAGAACATTTCCATGTGAGTGATTTGAGATCATAAGACCATTTTCTAATGCATTGTGAGTTAGGCTTGGAAAAACATGGGACATTCATCTATATAGAACTCTAGTGAATGCCTTGTCAGATTATGAAGCAAGAAATGTCACTATTAATGGGCCAGGATGCAAGAAAGGAGTGAAGACAAAACTGGTGTTGCACAGTGGATAGAGTGTCGGCCTGCAGACTGAAAGTCTCAGGTTCGATTCCTTGGTTGTGGGCACATCCCTGGTGGGGGGTGTGCAGGAGGCAGCTGATCGATGTTTCTAATTCTCTATCCCTCTCTCTATTTCTCTCTAAGAAATCAATAAAATTTTTTTTAAAAGGAGTGAAAACAGGCACTGAATAATAAAATGGCATGTGCAGATGTAGTAGTCTGCATTTTTTACTAACTGCCAGGTACTGTTCTAAGTCCTCAACATATAATAAGTCATTTAATCTCCACAACAACTGTTTGTGGTGCATACTATTATTATCTCCATTTTACAGGTGAGTAAGCAGAAATCCGGGAAGGTTATGTACCTGATAGAAGGCCCCTCAGCTAGTAAGTGGAACTAGGGCTCAAACACAAGCCATCTGGCTCAAGGACCCGTCCTCTTAATAAACTAATTACATGTTCCAGAACTGCCCAAGACAGTGGTAATGTATGCCTATTGTCTTGGCACAAATATAAATATGAACCCTAGAAAGTGCCCCCATTTGGACAATACATTATGAACACCATATCTCTTTTTTTTTTTAACATTTTTTATTAATTTTTTTGCCCCCCTCTCTCACTCCCACACATCCCCTCCCTCCCCAGAGTTTTGTGTCCATTGGTTGTGCTTATATGCATGTATACAAGTCCTTCGGTTGATCTATTATCTCCTCCAGATCTTCCTCCCCTCCCCACTGTTATTTGACAGTCTGCCTGTTGCTTTACTTTCTCTATATCTGTCTCTTGGTTCATCAGTTTATAATGATCTTTATCATCCACCAATGAGTGAGGTCATGTGGTGTTTCTCCTTCATTGATTGGCTTATTTCACTCAGCATGATGTTCTCCAATTCCATCCAGGTTGCTGCAAATGATGAGAATTCCTTCTTTTTTATGGCAGCATAGTATTCCATTGTGTAGATGTACCATCTCAAAAAACTGAAAATGGAATTCCCATTTGACCCAGTAATCCCACTTCTAGGAATATATCCCGAGAAACTAGAAACACCAATCAGAAAGGATATTTGCACCCCTATGTTCATAGCAGCACAATCTACAATAGCCAGAATTTGGAAACAGCCTAGGTGCCCGTCAGCAGATAATTGGATCCAAAACACCATGTCTCTTAACTAAAATCTTTTTCTTACTCAAAGCCAAGAAAAACCTAGTCTGAATAACAGAGGTATCCAAGTGATCAGATTGTATCTCCAGTCATAAGTGAAGTGACCATTTGGACTCAATAGGACTGTAAGGAAACCATCCAGCTTGCCCTAAGCATTCCACTAGCTGTAGGGGTTGGTGTAGGCTTGGTTTTAACCAACCAGTCATTCTGTTCTCTTACACACTTGAGGCTCTGTTTTCTGCTCCAATGAAGTTGCCAGGGGCAGTGGTTTGCCTCTTTCCGGGATGGTTTTATTGATTCCTCCACTTTCGGCCCCTTCCAGGTGCCCCCAGATCTGCAGAATGAAGTGCTGGTCAGCCTGCTGCAGACTGACCCTGATGTGGTGGACTACTTGCTCCGAAGAAAGGCCTCCCAATCCTCGTGAGTATGCGGGGTCCTACATCTGCTTGAGGATTTCTCTTACCATTTCTGAACAGTTGGAAAAGTTTACATGACTCCACCTGGGGTGATTTGAAGGGGCATTTTGGCAACTGGCACAACTGATCAGTCCACCTAACTAGAAACTGCTTGATCCACTTATTAAATTAGGAACTGCTTTACAGAATTTTTTTTTTCATTTTCATTTTTGGCTTTTTCTAGTCCCTTGACCTCCTTTGGACTGGGTTTACAAAAAAAAAAGCACCAAGTGGGCAAGAAGCTCAAGGGGCTGACAAGGATGCGCATGTGTGATTCTCCTTCCAGAATTCTGATAACTGTTCTTAGGGGCCTATACGGCTGAGCCTGCATGCATCTCACATGTGTAATTTACCAGCACACGTGATGCATCACCAAACCACAAGACAGGCCTCAGCCAGGCCAAGTGCCATTTGAAATTAGAGGTAAACACCGTCTTGACTCTCCTCCCCTCCCCCCCTTCTAGCTGGCATTTTTTTTTTTTAATAAAAATACACACCGGTCTCCACGTGCACCATAGTTGCAATGAGTCAAATGCCAGCCATGCTGTGGGCTGCTTTGCCACCATTTTTGCCCCGAAGTAAGAGCACTGAATGTTTGCATTAGTCAGATGTTATGATTAATTGAAACCATTTGTTACAGAAGCAGAGGATATGGGGGTACTGAGCACTTGTCAGACCCAGTTAAGGGGATAATACTGCATCCATTACCAGGAGCGATGTTGCCCCCAGGACCCCTAGCCTTACATTTGTGACAGAAAAAGTTGTTGTGGCCCTAGTCAATTTGGCTCAGTGGATAGAGCATCAACCTGCAGACCAAGGGCCCCGGGTTCAATTCTGGTCAAGGGCACATACCTCAGTTGCAGGCTCTTCCCCAGTCTGGGCCCTGGTCAGGTGTGCAGGAGGCAACTAACCAATGTTTTTCTCTCACATCGATGTTTCTCTCTGTCTCTCCCTTTCTCTTCCACTCTCCCTAAGAACCAATGGGGAAATATCCTGGTGTGAGGATTAACAAAAAAAGAAAAAGCTGTTAATCTCTCATGAAAGTATTGTTTATGTTGTGCTTTTGGCCTACAAAATTTCAACAATTCTACAACATACTTCCCCCAATGTTTTATCATCTCTGAGGCTGAGATCCACCCTGTAATCAAAGGCATGTCCTAATTTAATTCATAGTACTTGTTTCTTTCTTAAATGTATATAAAGTAATGGTATATCCTATTCCACGATAGCTTAAAAACATCCACACGTTGAATTGTCCCTGTATGGCGAGACCACATTTGATGTGTTAATTTTCATTTAAAGCTATTTCCTATACAAAAATGCTATGTTCTTGAGATAGATTTGGTGAAAAGGAATTCTGCTTGGCTCAGGCCTCCTTCATTCCTGGGTCATTACACTAATAGCCCTGCTACATCCACCCCTCTGTCTCCTGCAGAGCGAGCGGGCAGAAGTTTTAATTGGCTCATCCTTTCAAGTGCACTTTTGAAAATCCATCTCCGGGCTGATCATTATCAGGCCTGTGGTCTAAGTGAGACATTCTGCCCAGTACAAGGCCCCAGAGGCGCGAGTGAATAAGAGTGCCCTCAAATTACCCAAATTGGCTGGCATTTCATGGTCTTGCTTTTCACATCAGAAAATTAGGCTCACTTAAACAGTTCCTAGAATTTTAACTGTCACCCAGGTAGAAGTTCTCATTGGAAATATCACGGGGCTTTTCTTCCCAGGGTAACTCGCATCACCAGAATTTTAATGACCTCGCTTGCTTTCCTTCTCTGTGCAAGAGAACAGATGAGAGGGCATTTCGACTTGCAAGTCTCTCATTAAGCTGCATTTGTAACATTTCGTGGCTACTCTGCGGGGAAAGCTAGAAAACACACCTAAGACAACCACAGATTTTGATTTGCCATTGTTATATGGCATTAGACTTTGAAGAAGGGTTGATTAATAGCTATTTTTTATGTGTTTTTCAAGTATGTTCTTTGCATATAAATGCCAGGGAATGAACCTTTTATTCTTGACTCTAGCATCGTCTTTTCGCTATCCCTGTGAAAATGGGGATTGTAAGTTTGAGGCAGGCTGACCCTCGAGCAAGATCTTAGGTAAGGGGCAGGCTTCAAGGGGAAAGAGCAGGCTCCCGGAGCTCTGTGGGTGTTCAACAAAAAACGGGTTGGGGGGGGGGGGATTAGTAAGAAGAAAGTGATTGTTTTTCTCTTCAAGGTACAGGCCAAGACACGGCCCAGAAAGTGGATAATGATGGCATAACGGAGAAATATATAAATTAATAAATAGACATCTCTTTTTAATGGCCTTTCGAGGCTTGAGAGTCATATCCCTCAAGCTGTAGGTAGTGTGTTCCTGCCCTAAATGAGAGCATCAAACTTCCCTGCGCATCCAGGTCAGCAGGGACCTTGTTAAAATGCTCTTTCTGAATCACTAGGTGTGGGGGAAGGAGTGTGAGAAGCTGGCTTCTCTCAAGCTCCCAGGTCATGCTGTGATCACACTTGGAGCAGCGAAAGCTGCAAACATCAAGGCGTGCTCTGCACTTTAAGAGCTCACGGCCTTGTAAAAGGGTGTTGACACGGGTCAGAATAACAGGTGTGTGATCAAAGATGTCACAGAGTACAAAACGAGATGTGCTGGGCCAGCGGTCTGCAAACTGCGGCTCTGTTGACTCATGAGTTCGCCGACCACTGGGATAGGGGCTGAATCACAAGGAACAACAACAGCCTGTCATTATTGGAATCGAGAGTCTAGGTCAGTGTTGGACAAACTCATTAGTCCACAGAGTGGCAAATTGCAGCTCGTGAGCCACAGTTTGCCCACCACTGTGCTGGGCCATCGGGACTCAGACTTGCCTGCCCAATAGGAACCACCTGGGAGCTTAAAGAACAAGTCCTCCTGGGCACCATCCCTAGAGATTCTGACTCATTCGTTCCAGAGTGAAGTCTGGACATTGGGGTTTTTGAAAGCTCCCCGTGTGCTTCTGCTGAGCAGCCAGGGGTGCGAATTTCTGGCTTAGATCCACCCCAATAGACACCACATAGTTACTACCACAGTGGGTGAATTTTGACATTGAAAAGGGGTCTTTGGGTTGACAATGAAGGGAACTAATACTGCACACCGAAAGTCCATGATAATGATGGACCACAATGGTAATGAGTGGTAGTACCCCAGTGCCAGGTGGCGCTGGCTACCTTGGTATGCCACTTACCCATCAATAGCACAGCCCTGGATGGTATAACATGCTGGTCACAGCTTTGGATGCAGAGCCAGATGGCCGGAGTTCCAATTTTGGTTCCACTGCTATTAGCTGTGTGGTCTTAGAGAAAGAAATTCATCTCTCTCTCTTTCTCAGTTTCCTCATCTGTAAATTACAGATAAAAACTTTAGAGTTGTGCTATTAGAATAGGATAGAATTTAAATCGATGCTAATGATTACTATCATGTCACTTCAAGTTTCTTCATTCTCTTCTTTTACAACTACTTACCAAAGACTCGGGCATCACTGTGTTTTACTTTGCTACTCAGCAGATAGCAACCTATGAAGGCGATGTGGCATAAGAGAGACTCCAGCCACATTAAGTTGTGTGCAATGTCTAAAGACAGCCCACGCCCTAGCTGGTGTGGCTCAGTGAATAGAGTGCTGGCCTGCACACGAAGGAGTCCCAAGTTGGATTCCAGTCCTTTTTTGCTGTATTTTTCTCGAGGCTTCTGTTCTTTGTCACCAGCTCACATATACCTAAAACAGGGCTTTAGACTCCTGTGTCCCACGGAGAACCGCACAAGATTTGGAGTGGAAAAGTAACGTTTCAAAAGAGTGTAGAACCAAGAAAAGAAACACATTTATTACAACTTCTGTCTTGAAAGATCAGACACTTAGTGATGCTTGGGAAGTAATGTTTTGTTTGGTGGGAGTTTTTCTCTTCTTTATGCAACAATAGAATTGGCAGAGTGAAAGGAGGATTCGTTATTTTTTTTCCTGCTTGTCTGCTTACATTTTTGGCTTTAACTGAAACATGATGCCAAAGGAAGAGAAGACATTTATATTATTAACAAGGAAGACTTGAGGTTTTAAAATTTCTTGTCTGTTATATTCCTTAGAATGATATGCTCTTTTCTTCAAAAGATACTTAAAATCAAATCCCCTCCTTTGGTTTAGGGGTGTAGGGAAATAGGGAATTATAATGAAAGGTAAACCAAAGAGCACAGGGTACATGGAATACAGGTATTTGCAACAGAACAGGGTGTCATATCTGGGCTGGGACCAGGGTGAGCAAAAGCAGGCAGGCACTCACCTAGGTGCAAAATGTAAGGGTATGCAAAAAACCCCTCACTCATCAAGATAAGCAATATTGAGCCCTAGCCAGTTTGGCTCAATGAATAGAGCTTTGGCCTGTAGATTAAAAGGTCCTGGATGCTATTCTGGGTCAAGGGCATGTGCCTATGTTTTGGGCTCAATCCCCAGTAGAGGGTGTGCAGGAGGCAGCTGATCCATGTTTCTCTCTCATCCATGTTTCTAATTCTCTATCCCTCTCCCTTCCTCTCTGTAAAAAATCAATAAAATATTTTTTAAATTAAAAAATAAACAATATTGAAATGTAATATTTTAAATCAAAGTTAATGTCAAATATCTATTATGAACAAAATATCAAAAATGTTTAAACAACTAGTGGCAGGCCAAGCCATACTGGAGCCTGAAGCAAAAGGTATCCTAGCTTAAAGGAAAACAAGTCATCAGTAATGTTTTATGAATATACTTCTTTGTTTCTTTTATTTTCAACTGAGAGAGTTGCTCTGTGTGAAAATTTTTCTGGACCAAGTACCAATCTTAAATAATTTTTAATTAAGTTAACCCCAATTAAAATAATGATAAGATTTTGTTTGGGCATAAATAAAGTTTTTAAATGTAATATACAATAATATTGTAACTTGTATCTACTTTTCAATTTTTCAACTGTTTTAATG